GAGGAAATGACCAATTCCTGTAGTGACCAGCAGGGAGCGACTCCTCTGCTCCCATAGACGTCTATGAGGAAATGACCTACCTCTTGTAGTGACCAGCAGGGAGCGACTCCTCTGCTCCCATAGACGTCTATGAGGAAATGACTCTACTTCTCTGTAGTGACCAGCAGGGGGCGACTCCTCTGGTCCCATAGACGTCTATGAGGAAATGACCTACTTCTCTGTAGTGACCAGCAGGGAGCGACTCCTCTGGTCCTATAGACGTCTATGAGGAAATGACCAATTCTCTGTAGTGACCAGCAGGGGGCGACTCCTCTGGTCCTATAGACGTCTATGGGGAAATGACCAATTCTCTGTAGTGACCAGCAGGGGGCGACTCCTCTGGTCCTATAGGAGTCTATGGGGAAATGACCAATTCTCTGTAGTGACCAGCAGGGGGCGACTCCTCTGGTCCTATAGACGTCTATGGGGAAATGACCAATTCTCTGTAGTGACCAGCAGGGGGCGACTCCTCTGGTCCTATAGACGTCTATGGGGAAATGACCAATTCCCTGTAGTGACCAGCAGGGGGCGACTCCTCTGGTCCTATAGACGTCTATGGGGAAATGACCAATTCTCTGTAGTGACCAGCAGGGGGCGACTCCTCTGGTCCTATAGACGTCTATGGGGAAATGACCAATTCTCTGTAGTGACCAGCAGGGGGCGACTCCTCTGGTCCTATAGAGTCTATATTTGCTACCTTCTGTTTGCTGGTTGCAAAAAGCAAAGGATGCAAAGCTTCTAAACTACAATCCCTGGGGAAACCGTGACTACGTCCACGTCAAAGTTTACGAGAGGACACTGATAGAGACTAGGGCTGCAACAACCGAATCGATAAAAATCGATTCGTTGTGTCACGCGATTATTACGTCACTCAATGTAAGTCGCTTTGGATAAAAGCGTCTGCTCAATGACCTGTAATGTAAATAAAACTAAAAAAGTGTTCGGTTTTAGAATAAAGGGTGAAAATTAAAGCTCTTATGCGTTTTTTTTAATCCGATTAATCGAAGGAAAAAAAGAATTGACCGATTAATCGATTATCAAGATAATCGTTAGTTGCAGCAGTAATAGAGACTCTGCTCTACATAACTCACGTTTTAGTTTTTCAAGCCCAATTTACTGAGTTAGTTCACTCACAGCTGTTTCAAGCTGAACGAGGCAGCTTTTAGCTACAAGAAGCAAAGTTAGCTACTAGCTTTGTAAACCTGTAATAATGTTCTGCAAAACAAACTGTGAAAGGTTCCCTGCAGGAGGCCCAGCCTCCAGGGTGATGCTAGTTCAGACTGCGGCAGTTAGTCCAGGACGTCCAACCACCCAACAATCTATTCAAGTTGGCCAGCAAAAATGTCTAAATGGGATAAACACAGATCGTAATCTTTGTTTTCATAATAATCTACCACACTTAGGTTGAGGAACCCAGTCTCCAGGGACGCCCCCCTTCAGACGGGGGAACCATACAAAAACAGTTTTCACTGGGGCAGAGAGATCAATCTGGGCTTTAGACAAGAAAAGCCTGCAAATGAAGTTGCGCAGCGGGCTGTAATGAAACCAGGCCTCCCTACGTGGGACTTGGCCCCTCCATGAAGGAGCAGCACGAAGTCCTCTCCTGGGCTGGTGAAGGACATTCCTGAGATAACTGGCACAGCCTGCCAGCGCCCAGCAGAGGAGAGGGAGGAGCACGGGGGGGTCAGCAGGTCCAGGACCAGCAACATACCGGCCTTTTGGGGTTTGATAATGTGCAACACATCGACATTCCCGAGGATATAAAACAAGAAACATTTGTTACGCCATAAACTGAAGCGTGGGCCCTTATCGAAGCAACGCTCAGATAAGAAAAGCTCAGCTTGTGTTTCCCTTTGGACACATCGCAGGGGCTCATTCATATTACAAGCCAAGGTGTGCGAACATGTGCTGACTAATGGCACGTTCAGACACAAGGCTTTATCACGCTACCATCTTCCGAGGGTCCGACAAGCCTCCGCTGTGTCCCTGCCTGGTTGCAGCCACCCGGGGTGCCGTTACACATTAACACCCCCTGAGGCTCAGATCAGTTAAACCGGCCGGGCAGGGAGCTGACTAAGCACAAACCTCGCCGACTCCCCCTCCACAAAAAACAGAGCTTTTCTGTAAAACAGGCTGCGCTCATAATAGAACCCAATCTAGAGGTTGAGTAATCGGGAATGCCTTAATGCACAAAGCGATACTCTATCTGCCTCCTTACTGGCCACGCAGAACCTGTAAAACCCGTTTAGATTGAGCCCCCAAGGGGAAGCAGAAGTATGTCAGGTCAAAACACACCCAAATGTGGAATACTGGACACTGTCTTTGTCTTAATACTCTCAGTTACTGGAGGGGCCAGAAGTGGACGAGGTAACCGGAGAAGGAGGAAGCATCCACCTGCGCTGCTCTGGGGTCACTGCCTTCTGGAGCAGAACGTTCGACTTTGGTCTCGTTCGTCCTCCGTGGCTTCCTCTGGGCCTCGCTACCTGAGCAGGACTGAGCTGGGACAGACCTGCTCTTTGTGAACAGCCAGGGAGGGACACGGGAGGGGGGAGGGAGAGTGGAAGGAGCAATAGGGGGAGGGTGGGTGGGGCGAGGCCTGGAGCGGAGCTTCTTTGAAGGAACAGGGCGCTAACTCGACAAGTTGGCTCCAGTCTCCTGAAGCACTGAACAAGTGGAAAACACACACTGTGCGAGTGCACTGAATGAGCCATTCGGTCAGGACCAACGAGTCCCGGGTGAAGACCGGGAGGTCCTCTACGTTCTCAGGTCCAGCCTGAAGTCATCAGACGTATGACATCACGCTAGTTGTGAATCTGGGCGCCCAGGATGCTTTTGCAACAATGAAAACGTGGCGCGAGTTAAGCGACAAAGCCAAGCGGCCACGGACCCAGAAAGGGAGCATGACATGAAGCTCTCAGCACTGGACCGGTTCCACCGATGAGACTCTGCGGCTTACCGGGCGTCTCCTTTGCTGACGTTGGTGGTGGCCGGATGCAGGACGGTCTGGTTCCCCTCCATCTCCACCACACATTTGGTCTGTAGGTCTTTTTCTGGATGAAACAGAAGGAGAAAGTAAGTAAATAGGACAACAACAAAACAAACATGTACAGTGTGCAAAGTCCCGTTTGCGGCGGTCTAAAGGCGCGTGCTGGACTACGTGGTGGGTCACGGGAGAACAGGTCCTGGTGAGTAAACGGTGTTTTATTGATGGTGATTCATCCCGGGACTTGTTGTGCAAACACTACAACCACTTCCGCCTCCGGGAGCAGACAGCTGGGACCAGCAGGGCCGGCGTAACTCTTCCTCATTCCTTCCCTCCACACAAGGCGCAGAGAGGCGAGGCCCGAGCTTCCTGTCAGAGCAGCATTTGGGCACACGCGTGTTGTAAGACGTTCTGCTCCTTCACCTAAAGGCCCGCGTGTGGTCACATTAGCATGAATGTAGCATGAAGAGAACACGTCTACATACAGTGGATCCTCCTTGTAGAGCCAAGCGGCACCGGTCTACTACAGACCAGACCAACGAGACAGAGACCAACAAGACCAACGAGTCAGAGACCAAGAGACCAACGAGACAGAGACCAAGAGACCAACGAAACAGAGACCAAGAGACCAACGAGACAGAGACCAACGAGACAGAGACCAACGAGACAGAGACCAACGAGACAGAGACCAACAAGACCAACGAGACAGAGACCAATAAGACAGACTCGTAATAAAGAGACTAATAATAAAAAGGGACGAATAAGAGCGAGAGGCTAATAAGAGAGAGACTCATAATAAAGAGACTAATAAGAGAGAGACAAGGGTCCCCCGGCTTGTCCGACATTGCACTCACCTCTCCGGTTCATCGGTCGCACTCGCACAGCGACCTTCACGTTGGCCTCGTTCATCTTGTCCTCCATGGCGCCACCTGAACACAAGCGGTGCGCGTTAACCTCCGCGGGACGAGTCGGTTTAAACCAAAGAAACGCGGCGTCGTTGCGCGACATAAACACGTCTATAAAGCAGGCGGGATAAGCCCCGCGCGGCTGGCGGACACGCGGACGCGACCCGCGCCGAACTCACCGCGTAGGACAGCGGGCGCCGGAGGGGGTCACGCGGGCCCGTCCCGCGCTCCTCCACCTGTTGCGCGTCCCGGGGCTTCCAGCGGACACGGCTCGGGACGTGTCGCCTGTGAGCGGATTTAGCGCGGCTCGGCTCGGCTCGGCTCGAGGGGGACTTCAGCGCCGCGGTGCGGACGCACGCGCACTGCAGGTCCGTGCTTCCCCTCCGGTCGCGCGTGTCCTAAACGCGCGCAGACACGCACTGAGCGAGCGGACGCGCCGCGGCTTACCGCCGCCAGAGGAAACCAGCTCAGCGGGCTGAAGTCCACTTTTCGGCGTTTTACGACAGTTTCCACTTTCTTACGACTCGAGCCGTATTTCGACGCAACGTGGAGTTGTTTACTCTTTCTGACAGTCGCCAGCGGGGAAACAACCGGCCGGAATCCCGCAGACCGGCACCTCTGCGTTGGACGCTCGACCGAGTCCCTGAAGGAAGCGATGGGGAAACCAAAGAAGAAGAGTGAGTGCGTTCAACCCGCCGGAAGTCACTTCCCGCGCGCCTCTGCTAGCTTTAGCTCGCTGCTAGCGCGGGCTAGCGAGATGACTCCAACGCGCTCGCGCTTTAACAAATGTCCCCCGCAGGTGACGTCAGCCGCGCCGAGCTGATGATGATGACCATCGCTGACGTGATCCAGCAGCTGGTTGAAGCCCACGAGGAGGGAAAAGACATCAACCTCAACAAGCAAGTGCTGCTCTTACACACCCACCGAGTCACCCACGTCCTCAGAAAACCAGAGAACGACAAAGCGACGGTTTAATGAAGCACACCGCGCGTCTCTAACAGACTGGGCGGTTAGTAAAGGGTCGGTCCTCACGCTCCTGCAGAGAGCTGCTGTTCAATCATTGATTGGGGGGGTCGTATCTTCTGCCCTGGAGTGTCTGTAGTCCACGTCCTGAGGTGAGGCCTAGGAATCACTAATCAGGATCAGGAAACATTTATTACCAAAATATGCCAAACAAGGAATTTGTCTTGGCGGTTAGTGTAGACGGACAAGACAGCAGTGCACAAGTAATAAAATAAAGTAGAATAGTAGCTAATGCAATGGGTTAGTAGAATAAGGCTATGGGTTAGTATAAAACAAGGGAATAAAGTCAAAAACTTTAAATATTAAAACATTAAAAAATAAAAATATTAAGCATAAAGTGCACTAACGAACAAGTAACAAACAATCAATGCTCTCCTGCTGCCTTCAAAAAGGGTGAAGACCAAGACCTCAGCCAAGTACGGCCTGGAAGCCCAGCCCCGCCTGGTGGACATCATCGCCGCCGTTCCCCAGCACTACCGCCGCGCCCTGGTGCCCAAACTCAAGGCCAAGCCCATCCGCACCGCCAGCGGGGTGAGTCGCCCGCTGATGAGTAATACGTCCGCTCTGCTCTAACGCGGAGGCTCTCTTACCGGGTCCATGTGAAGGAACCAGGGTTCGCACAGAACGTCTCAGCGGCCGGTGGCCGAGGTGACAGAATCATTCGACGTAAACATGTCTGCTTCCTGTCCAGATCGCGGTGGTGGCCGTGATGTGCAAACCGCATCGATGTCCGCACATCAGCTTCACGGGCAACATCTGTGTGTGAGTAGCGCTGCGTGCTCCTGAAGAACACTGTCACCGTCTACTTGGTTTGTTTTCTGTTAAAGCCTCACTGGAGACGTCAGTCCGTTCATTTCAACGAGGTCAGATCCCCAAACCAGCTGCAATTAGTATAGTTTATTTTTCAAATTAATGCATTTATTGGTCCATGGGGACGTTTCAACCCTAAATCCATATTTATGGCCCGTTTACTGAAGACAAGCCGCAGGTCTTTATGGCTATGAGTGATTTGACAACAAGAAACCATCTAATCAACCTGCACTGATAAATAGCGTTGTTTGTCATTTTGGGGTGAACTGTCCCTTTTTGAAAGCATCCTTCGCTCTCTCCTGTGGCAGCTACTGTCCCGGCGGGCCGGACTCTGACTTTGAGTACTCCACGCAGTCGTACACCGGCTACGAGGTCTGTACCGCGCGCTGTCCGTTTGTCCTCCTCGCTCAGATCAGAGTCTTTGTTTTTGGATTGAAATTTGACTCGACGATGTCCTTTTCCGTCGCTGACAGCCCACGTCCATGAGAGCGATCCGAGCGCGCTACGACCCCCACCTGCAGACCAGACACCGCGTGGAGCAGGTCCTCCATGCATCACAGCTTCTGTGACGTTTACAAGTCACGAGCATCCAGTTGACCGTTTCAGGTGATCACGTGTGTGTGTGTGTGTGTGTGTGTGTGCGCAGCTGAAGCAGCTGGGTCACAGCGTGGACAAGGTGGAGTTCATCGTGATGGGCGGGACCTTCATGGCTCTGGCTGAGGAGTACAGAGATTACTTCATCAGGAACCTGCACGACGCCCTGTCAGGACACACCTCCAACAATGTGGCCGAGGCCGTCAGGTACCCCCCCCCCCTTATCTATGCACAAGTACATATTATGATTTGGTTGTTTTGTTGTTATTTTGTAATCTCCACTGGGAAGAAGCGTATCAGAGTCTCCACCTGAGGGCGCTGCTGGTCCACGTGTGCACTTTCCCCACAGTCATCCGTTAGCTTTCCTCTACTGCTGCAGGTGACGTCATCCGGTCGTACTGAAATACACTTAAATCACATATAAAAAGTTTGTCATTTAGTATGAAAATGAGACGGAACCAGCAAATATCCCCAATTATAGAAAATATCTAATCCTTGATTCCACTTTGTCGTTTAGTTCATTAAACATAAAAATATAAATTAGCACTACATCGTTCTGTGTGAGGAAACATCTCCCTTGAGACCAAACAGCAGCCGCTGTGTAGAAGCTGAGACGTGAACCTGCTGCGCGTGAGAAGAGAAGCAGCAGCTTCTACGGACCTGACGAAGTAGAAAAAACGATTTGTCGTTGCACAGATCATTTGACCAAATAATGGCTTTTTCTGTTTGTTTGTCTGCTATTTGATCCCCTCTGGTCCGATAAGGGGGTGTGTGTGTGTGTGTGTGTGTGTGTGTTTTATCAGCACTCGTTGTCAAGATGTTGTGATTGAGGTAATTGCAGTGGCTGCTGCTCAGTTTGTGAAGGTGGGAACTGGTCTGGTTGGCGTGTGTGCGTGTGTGCGTGTGTGTGTGTGTGTGTGTCTGTGTGCGTGTGTGTGCGTGCGTGTCTGAGCATTTTTCGTCCCCGATCAGATCCCAACAGCGGGGAACCACAACACAACAGACTTTTTATTGATTCATCCAACACAATGTGATGAAGCTCCACGCAGACTCTGATTGCAGTGAATCAGCCAGCAGACTGAAAGACGGACATTTGTTGCCCGCAGACACGGAATCAGGAGGAATATGCGGCGGCGTGGGGCGCTGATGGTCATTGGATCAGCTGAGGGGCAGCGTGCTGGGACGAGATGCTCCTGCGTGTGTTTTGGGGGGTTGATCAGTGACTCAGATCAGAAGCAGCAGAGTCGTGATGAAGATAATGATGTTCAAAGGTCAATGTCCACATCTGGCTGCCATCAAACAGTACGCTCATTATTTGCATTATAGAAGTGAGGTAAAAGAAAAGAGCGTCAGAAGTATACAGATACTACTGTTCTCATCCAGAGCGTCTACATGGGTTTCATTTTAGTCTTAAAGTTCCCTTGGAAAGAAGATGAACGTGATGGAGAACTCAGCCTCTGATCGTGTTGAATCAGGGCTCGAGGTCACGCCGCCACAAACTGAGGCCTTCGTTCTTCCTCTGGGGAACAAGGAGGAAACGTGCTGCTGGTATCGCTTCTCCATCCAACTTACAGCAGAACGGAGGATTATTGTAGGATTAAAGGGAGGCGGACCATGTGACCCAGTGACCCTGTGACCACGTGACCCTGACGCATGATGATTCTAGCGGAGGCAGCGACGGGCTGTGACCAACAGATCGATGCTTAAACTCCTTCATCACGGTGATTCACTTCATTTAAGTTGTTATCTGAAGCGTCTGTTTTCTCGCGTTGCGTTTTTCTTTAGTCCTCTGATCTTTAGACGTGACCAGTCGGTTCACAGCGACATCGACACTCTGATTGTATTTAACTTGATGGGAGTAAACACTCATTAATGCCTCGTTTCACGTTTGCATGGAAGACACCACATCCGTCCTCTGCCCCTCCGGAGCGTCTCACTGTGTCCATAATGTCTCCATAATGTCTCCGCAATGAGCCGTGCAAACTGCAGCTGGTAACGCGACGTTGCTTAATGACGCCGCCACAAGAAAACAGCGTCCAACATCCTCGGCGCGACTCGTCAAGTAGCAGCGTGGAAGGCGTGATAATGCCGGCGCGTCGTCCCCCTGCAGGTACTCGGAGCGCAGCAGCACCAAGTGCGTGGGCATCACCATCGAGACGCGGCCCGACTACTGCCTGAAGAGGCACCTCAGCGACATGCTGGGCTACGGCTGCACCCGCCTGGAGATCGGCGTCCAGAGCGTGTACGAGGACGTGGCGCGGGACACCAACAGGTCTGTGCGTCCCCCCGGCGGGGACGGCGTGGCTTCTCTCTGTCGCCCTGTGGCTCCGTGACCCAACGCGCTTGTCTTGCAGGGGCCACACGGTGCGAGCCGTGTGCGAGTCCTTCCACCTGTCCAAGGACGCCGGCTTCAAGGTGGTGGCGCACATGATGCCGGACCTGCCCAACGTGGGCACGGAGAGGGACGTGGAGCAGTTCATTGTGAGTCTCTTCTTCTTACTCTGATGTTTAGGATGTGGTCGGGTCACTTAGCCACCGCGTCTCCTTCCTCGGCGGGGCACCGGCGTGCGTCAGCACTTCTGATTTCACAGCGGCGGACCGGTTGTCTCCGACGCATAGCGTCTCCACAATAGACGAGAGCGGCGGCGGCGGCGCCCCAGCAGGCCCACTTCACGCCGCTGATTGGGAGCGCGGCGGCGATGTGACTGTAGGATGTAAATGAAGACTCGGCGTCTTTCTTTCACGCTGATGAACACAAATCAAGTCCTCTAATTGGTGCAGCCTGTCACTCAGTGTCTCCCCGCGAGGGGAAGATTAAAGTGGCTTCAAACATTAAAGCGCTTCCTCCCTGCAAGGAGGACGAGGTCTGGAATAGTTCTTGAGTGTGACGTGGAAGGTTAGCGTGCAGTATCTCCTCGGGTTCCTCTCATTATTCAAAAACACGATGTCAAACCACGTGTGTAATAACGTGGGGAAGCAGAACTCCTAAATCAACCCAAGCGTTTCTCCGGCGTGACTTCTGTCCGCCTATCGAGGCGAGATCGGGCGATAGCAGAGCACCGCCGTTAGAGGTTACTCGTGTGTGTGTGTAGACGCTGGATGAGGACATAATATTCACGATGGCGCTGAAGGTGCTCGGGACACCTTCTGAGCACCAACAGCTGAGGTTTAATGAGGACAGGTGAGCCTGCAGAGTGCGCGTCCACCTGCAGGTTTATGGCTCTTTGATATCGTCACTACTGGCGATGTGAGCAGATGCAGCCTGCGTTCAGAGTGCTGCTCTGATTCTGGAGGAAGCTGCAAACACACCAGAAGGCTTCACGCATGGAGGTGCAAACATCACGTTAAGTCCTTTTCCTTCTTTAAAGTCCGTTTATGGAGGTTTGACCGCTGATGAGCGGCAAACATGAGTGTGAAGAATGACTTAAGACACTTAAAATATTCCTAAAAGTGGTTTATGAAGAAGGAAATGGATTAAATATCATCGCTGCACCTCGATGTGTTCGACACCGTGTAAAGGAACTGAAACCAGATGATCCACTTTCTCTTTAAAGGTTCCTGCCGTACGGGTTTAAAGTGATCGAGACGGGTTTGTTGAAGAACCTCCCAACCCTACAAACCAGAGGAGTCGGCCCTGGTGGTCAGCAGACAGGGTCCAGCTGAACAAATCCTACTCTCATTCAGGCCGGTGAATCCAGTTCAGTTGGATGAAAGAGGACTGAGCTGGTTTCACTCCAGATGCCCCACGCCCCGTGAAAGGATTATACAGCAAATATAATAAATAAACGCAACATCCAGCCCAATTTCTGCGTCCAATTTGGTGAGAAAGGGAAGTGAATGCTCTAAAAAGGGATGTTTACTTATTTAAAAGCATGAAGAATCGATCATACGAGACCGAGCTCTTCGGCGCGTTAATCCCATCGGTCCAAACGGGCTCCTCTTTCCGCCCATTATCTGTTCTGATCATCCAACTGCTGCTGCAGAGCTTCGCATCCCGCTCGCGTCCATCATGGCTGCCTGATAATGGAATTGGATTAGAACGTGAGATGCTCCTCACTTATCTGCCGTGTACAGATGTCCTCGGGGGGGTCCTACAAAAAGGAAGCAGGTGCAGAATCCAAACATTGTCCCGTCTCCTTTTGTGGATGTAGAAGAGCCCCCCCCCCCCCCCCCCCCTTAGGGCTGAGTGCAGGGACGTGTGCAACGTGGTCCTGTGATTATGAGCTGTGACGAAAGGGGATTGTGAGATAAAGGAGCCTATTTTGGGGAATTCTCCTCAATTCGATAGCGCAGCAGGGGGGGGGGGGACGGACGGACGGGGAATCAGTGATTCGCCGTCCAACCAGACCCACTACAGGGCTGCGATTGAATAACGCAGCGCTGTTCGTCTTTGGTCGGCGTGTTATTTTTCCGCTCCACAGTCCTCATGAATAAAATAAAGAAGCGGTTCACCTCTGAAGGGCGACGTGGTACCAAGCGATAACGCCGTGTGCGCCCGTTGGAGCACGCAGTCACGCGGATCCACTCGTTTGCCTGCAGGAGTTCTTTGAGAACCCGGCGTTCCGGCCCGACGGCCTGAAGCTGTACCCGACGCTGGTGATCCGCGGGACGGGCCTGTACGAGCTGTGGAAGACGGGCCGCTACAAGAGCTACACGCCCAGTGCGCTGGTGGACCTGGTGGCCCGCGTCCTGGCGCTGGTGCCGCCCTGGACCCGAGTCTACCGGGTGCAGAGGTGAGACGAGGGTGGGTGCGGGGGGGAGGCTCTGCAATGCCGTGGTTCTGAAATCCGGGGATGCGTTTGTGTCTGTGGTCTCATTGTGTGTCTCGGGTCAGGGACATCCCCATGCCGCTGGTGAGCTCCGGAGTGGAGCACGGCAACCTGAGGGAGCTGGCTCTGGCCCGGATGAAGGACATGGGGACCGAGGTGAGACGGAGGGGGGCGGGGGGCTCTGAGCCAGTCAGCCATTAACATGTAGTGAGCAGTGACCGGACCACCCAGCGCATTGAGCACAGGACGTTTCTCTGTGTGCAGTGTCGAGACGTGAGGACGCGAGAGGTGGGCATTCAGGAGATCCACCACAAAGTCCGGCCCTACCAGGTGAGCCAGAGAGTGGCGTCCCCCCGTTGTCGTCCCCGTCCCCCCCGTCCCCCCTAACCCGCCGAGTGTTGGTGTGCAGGTGGAGCTGGTGCGGAGGGACTACGTGGCCAACGGCGGCTGGGAGACCTTCCTGTCCTACGAGGACCCGGAGCAGGACATCCTGATCGGCCTGCTGCGCCTGCGCCGCTGCTCCCCGCAGTCCTTCCGCCCGGAGCTCAAAGGAGGCGCGTCCGTCGTCCGCGAGCTGCACGTGTACGGCAGCGTCGTCCCCGTCAGCAGCCGGGACCCCAGCAAGTTCCAGCACCAGGTACACGCTTCACGCCCGACCCGCCGGGAACAAACCGAGGGCCGGGAGTCTCCTCACGCGCTGCTTTGCTCCTCCGTCCCGTCTCAGGGTTTCGGCACCATGCTGATGGAGGAGGCGGAGAGGATCGCCAGGGAGGAGCACGGCTCCAGCAGGTTGGCCGTCATCTCGGGTAAGATGAGGAGGGACGTATGAAGACACGGACCTGTGATCTGCTGCAATAAATGTTCCCTCACCGCTTCTTCTGTCTCCTGCAGGCGTGGGAACCAGGAACTACTACAGGAAGATGGGCTACGAGTTGGAGGGGCCGTACATGCTGAAGGACCTGTACGGACCTGGGACGCACTGAGCCGGGGCAGCGGGAGTCGCTCAGTGTTTTAGTTTGATCATCTGCTGCAGCTCCTTCAGTCCGACGAGGAGAGACGTTGTTTGGGAGGACGCCAGAGCACCTAGTGGACGAGGACACTGCAGAGTCTGCTCAGCCGGCTCCACGGCAACAAAAACACTTGAAACAGCTTAGCGTGGTTTAGCATCACGCTTTCACTTAATCACGTTTTGTGCTGCGAGCAGAAAAGCGCGTCGGGCTGCAGGCGGTGAATTAACGTCCCGCTGGGCGATCGCACCTTCTTTCCTTATTTACAGGACAGGAAATTGAATATTGCGGCGACAGTTAATCCTATTAATGGCGTTTCTGTGTTTTCCGCTGGAATCCAGATCACTTGAGTGTTTTTATTGTTTTTTCCCGAGGAATAAAGTCTATTTCAGTTACTGGCTGCTCTGCTTTTTGAGGGATCAGGTCACATCGTCACGGAGGCTCCTTCAAATGTCCCCGTGTCAAAGGTCAGGAGACCCCCCCCCGTGAGCGTTTTACCGGCTCGTTTGACGCAGCCTCTTCGATCGTCGCCGTCGGTTTCCCGTCCGCTGAACATTAAGCGTGAACGCAGCGTTACTGGAAACCCCCCCGTGTCGTGACTGTCTGACGCATCGTGGAGCAGCTCTCCCTCTCTCCCCCCCTCTCTCCCCCCCTCCCTCCCCCTCCCTCTCTGCGTTGTGACGCCGCCCCCTGCGCTCCGCTTTTGTGCTGTAGAGGAAGAGAAGTAAATTGGCCCGAGGGAAGATGATCAGAGGGTGTAAAAAACCTGAATCAGCGTGTCACCACTATTGTAAGAGCAGTATAAATCGATATCATTAATCTATTGACTGGTTTGCCAAAACACAGATGTCCTGGTCCCCAGAGGATGATTCCTGTTGGCGCCGTCATCAATGACGGAGCAGAAGCTTCACGCTACTCTAGTTCAACACGTCACACTGTGCTCTTCAGCTGGGGGGTTCTTACCTGAGAAGGATCTCACGCTTGTTACGCATCGAACCCTAAAGGTTAAACCAGCTCCTCTGGGGGGGGGGGCTTCGCTGGTCACCATCGTGCTGCTTCACTTAATGGAAACACAGGAAGTGAAACGTGAAGGTTTGCAGAACTCAAACCAGTCAAGTGACGACACATTTACATTTGTATAAAGCTTAAGAGACGTAGTTCTGTATGCTGCATTAAATCCATTATGAGGCTTTACACCTTATTTACTTACTTTATTTGGAGGGAAAACAACAACAACCATCAGCTGGGGAACAAACAAAAACACTTGGACACAGTGTCAACAACAGACTTTTTACTACGCTGCCACATTTTCATATATTCTGTCCACAGTTAGACTCGTTCTACACGCGTGATGGAACTAAGGTACCAATCACTAAGCAACCAGACCGCGTTCTTTCCACAAGCAACGGCTCAATGTCCACCACCCTCAACAGCTCGGCTCCTCTGACCAGTCCCACGTGGTCTCCGGGTCCTCCTCGTGTGTGGGTGGTCCACGTGGCCTCTGGGTCCTCCTCGTGTGTGGGTGGTCCACGTGGTCTCTGGGTCCTCCTCGTGTGTGGGTGGTCCACGTGGTCTCTGGGTCCTCCTCGTGTGTGGGTGGTCCACGTGGCCTCTGGGTCCTCCTCGTGTGTGGGTTCCTCAGCGGTGTCCAAAGCACCTGAGGAACCCTGTACTCGTACAGCTGTAAGTGGCCGCTGCTCACAGGTGTAGGAAAGCAGCGGCTTCGGGGGTCAGAGGTCGATACTCCCGTACGGTGGCGTCGGCGGTGAAAGCCGCGCTCGTCTCCTAAGCGTCCTCTGTGAGAGCGGCGCTCACTCTGTCCGTCAGCCGGCGGGCTGGAGGCCGGGGCGTCCGGGTCCGAGGCGAGCATGTCCAGAAGCAGGGCGCTCAGGGCGGGGACCGGGAGGGGGGGGGCGGCTGAGGCGCTCTCCTTAACTTCATGGGGATGCACAGCTGGAGGTCGGCGTTCTCCCACAGGGCCTCGCCCAGCGGCACCTACCAGCGGCCCCGGCACACGTAGGCCCCTCCAGAGGAGACCAGGAGAGGCGGCGTTAGGGGGCGGAGCCAGCCACTACATTGTAGGAGTACTCAACAGAGCCGAGGGGGGGGGGGGGGGGGGGCCCGGAAATGTCCACCGGTTTCTGGGAATTACGCGGGCGGGACCCCCGGTTTCTTTTATAAGGAAATTATACCCCCGAGGGGGGACACCATTGGGGATCAGCGGAAAAGAACAAAACAAACCCCTGATTGATTCTCTGCGCCTGATGGAAGAACCGTCCAATCACCATCGGCTCTGGGACCGGGGCGGGGCTTCACAGCAACCAGCGCCCGAGGGACCAAACGTCCTCACGAGTGAAATGAGAACCGTCGGCAAACGCAAGAAACACGCAAACGTGTGTGAAAGTGTGTAAAGCCAGACGGTTGTAAATGAAAGAACACTGCCTCATAAATAACACGAACACCCGATCGATCTGCAGCGTAAAACTAACACTAATCAACACATTTTCAAAAAGAAAAGTGAAGAAAACTTCACACTGAGTGAAGTTTCTTTCGTTTTCCTCAGTGTTTGTCATGATTTTGCAATCGATGACTTAATTTGTGGGCGTTCCACAGACCATATATGGGCACCTGTGGGCGTGACACGAAGGGGAACCTGGTTTTAGCGTGTGAACCCTGCTACCAGCAGACAGGGAGGTCCTGCTGCTGTGGACGGGTTCAGGTTTAAGGACAAACAATGACTGAAGGTGAAGCTTTAACCAGCAGCAACCTTTGGAAACAGACAACGCAAACCAGAGCAGTGGATTCTGGGTGTTGTCTTTTCGCTTGTTTGCAAGAAGACTTCAGAAACCAGGTGTGCAAAAAACGCATCAAGTTACACACACACACACACACACACACACACACACACACACACACTCTAAAAGACTATAGAGACGCAGAGGCTCCGCCCACACGTCCTATGACCATGATGGACGCTGTGACCCATTAGGGTGAAAAGAGGAAACGTGTCCATGTTGTCGTGGATACTAGGAAACACATTCTTGCTAAACATCACCCTAATTCACTGAGACACACCAGTGGAGGGAGGGGGGGACACGGACCAGTAAGGGGAGGGGGGAGACGGACCAGTGGAGGAGGGGGACACGGACCAGTAAGGGGAGGGGGGAGACGGACCAGTGGAGGGAGGGGGGACACGGACCAGTGGAGGGAGGGGGGGACACGGACCAGTGGAGGGAGGGGGGGACACGGACCAGTGGAGGGAGGGGGGGACACGGACCAGTAAGGGGAGGGGGGACACGGACCAGTGGAGGGAGGGGGGGACACGGACCAGTAAGGGGAGGGGGGGAGACGGACCAGTGGAGGGAGGGGGGACACGGACCAGTAAGGGGAGGGGGGAGACGGACCAGTGGAGGAGGGGGACACGGACCAGTAAGGGGAGGGGGGAGACGGACCAGTGGAGGGAGGGGGGACACGGACCAGTGGAGGGAGGGGGGGACACGGACCAGTGGAGGGAGGGGGGGACACGGACCAGTGGAGGGAGGGGGGACACGGACCAGTAAGGGGAGGGGGGAGACGGACCAGTGGAGGGAGGGGGGAGACGGACCAGTAAGGGGAGGGGGAGACGGACCAGTAAGGGGAGGGGGGGGAGACGGACCAGTGGAGGGAGGGGGGACATGGACCAGTAAGGGGAGGGGGGAGACGGACCAGTGGAGGGAGGGGGGAGACGGACCAGTAAGGGGAGGGGGAGACGGACCCAGCAGTCAGACTTGAATAGGACGGACCGTCATATGTTCATTGGACGGTTTGTCTCATGTGTTCCTTGGACGGTTTGTCTCGCGTGTTCCTTGGACGGTTTGTCTCGCGTGTTCCTTGGACGGTTTGTCTCATGTGTTCATTGGACGGTTTGTCTCGCGTGTTCCTTGGGGACGTTTAGAGCGGCCGTAGCGATGAAGGACTGAAGGACAGAACAGTAATCGCATCACTGCTCATCTATGACGTAAGCAGAGCGGAGACAAGGACAAAGTCTCTGCACAAAGACAAATGTGTTTAGATTCCACTCGTTGGGTTGTGTCTCCTGTGGACACGTGCGGATACTAAACGCCGTCCTGACTCCGTCATCCACATTTTGCCTGTTTGATTGACAGCCCATCAGCTTCTGGGCAAAAACAATTCAGTTATATTTATTATTCTAAAATGAAAGTACTTCAGTTTTCAAAAGCTTTCGGTTTCATTTTATTCCTAAAAGCATCACTTGTTTTACTTGGAATGAGAGAAGTAAACGGTTTTATTACCATCAGTAGGTTTATAATGGATGTCATCAAGTTCAATGTGGAAACTGACGATACAGATTGTCAATCATATATATATATATATATATATATATGATTTATATTCACATACACACAGAAAATCCTTTCTGTGGAGGGAATAGTTGAATTTCTTTACTCCATCTCCTGTTTATGAGACAACCACACAGCTTCTGACCCCCCGTGAAGGTGCAGCAGGTTGAGCCTCCTCTTGACTTCACACGGTTATGACGTCATAATTCTGGCTGCTGATCAGCAGCATAACGATGAAACACATTCACTGTTTTCTGCGCTAGATGATCGATGGTCGTCCAAATGGGAACGGGAATTAAAATGCATGAATCGTTTCTCCGTCTCAATGTCTCCTGGATACACTTGGACGCTCTGCTACGCGTCCAGTGATGAAAGTCGTCGACCTACACGCCATTCAAAGTCAAGGTGTCACACAAAGCGCGCCTCATGCACGGCGTCCACACGCCTCAGCGCTGCGTGGACGGGGAGCCGGGGACGCTTGGCGTCCGTGTTCACTGCTCGATGGGACGTCGCCACGGTTACCTTCCCATGACCCGCATCATTCCACGCGGCTAAATGATGACCTCATAGTTCTGGTGGCGCCGACGTGCAGAGGAAGAGCTTCCAGTTACCGGCCACACGGAGCAGATGTTCCGACCCAGCGAGAGGACGACGGACACGAGACGGACTCAGTCTTCACCCGGTGTCCGTACGGGACGCAACCAGTCGGCAACCAGTCGGCAACCAGTCGGCAACCAGTCTGCTTTGTGCCGGCAGCGCAGGCGAGTATCATCATACGGATCCAATCAGTGTGTTTAATACAACAAAATGGTCAAAACTAATTGTGATTCCTGTAAAATATCAAATAAAGTTGGTGTGCGACATCTTATTTTGACAATGAATGTACAGCTTTCCCACGTTGTCCCACGTTGCCTCCCACGTCACAGCGATGGATCGCCGGTCTCCCCGAGGAGGTCCAGCAGCGACAGAGCGAACCGCCGACAAGCGGCAGCCACGCGAGAGGCAGCGCCTCGCTCCTCCACCCGCCCCCCACCCCCCACCCCCGCCCGCCTCGCCAAACAACCGCGTGGGCCGCGAGAGGAGATAAAGTTAAATAATGGACCATTTGATCCGTCTGTGAAGAGCCTCCAGCTGCCTCTGCCCATTTCCACCGTGACAAGACGGCCGCTGGATCCCATTGTTTGCTTCTGACAATCCGCTGAACCCCCCCGCGCCCTCCAATCGGAAGGGCTCCATTCCGCCTAATGGCGAGCCGGCGTCTCAGGGAGGGTCTCCGGCACTAAACCCGGGGATAATGGTTCTTATCTCCTGCTTATTTTTGTGAATAAAATGAGACATCTGTAAAACAGCCATTTCATTACTGTGACAGCGGAGCGCAACTGGGCCCCCGCCCATTAAGACGCTTCCTCATCCCACCGCCACATGGGTCCTGACAGGGAAATAACGCATTAAAAGAAGCGAGAGGCAGACCCAAACTTCCCAGCGCCACTGGAACGCCACGCCGCCTCGCCCCCGTCGAAGCGGGCTTTGTGGCTTCCAGCTCTCTGCATCGAAGCACTCTTTGAGCGAGGACGCGACCAGCAAAAGATCAGCGGCGCCGCGTCGAGGGGCGGCGCTTGGTGGGGATCAACAGCGAAATGAAGCGGGCGTCGCCTGCTGCACGTTTCATCGGAACGCCGAACGACACGCTGTCTGCTCACATTATGAGAAACGGACCCGCTAGAAGCGATCACCCAGCGCCACGTGGACCCACGGCCGTGGCGTGCTGCCGCTAGGTGACACGTTTAATATGCGCCAGCTGATTAAGTCAAAGTCGATGCGTCATCAGACCGCTGCTCCACCTCGGACTGGTGGGGGGGCAACGTGACACTTCAATGACACACTAAGACTTGAGGTTAACCCGGCCCCCCACGTGCAGTGCTTCCATTATACCCGTTACCATTAGAGCTGCCCCCCCCCCCCCCCCCCCCCATGTGTACGCAGCGCGTTCATCTCCTGCTCACCCAGCTGTTCCTGCGAGGCTCCTTCTGCCAGGAAGGTGATCCTCTCCAGCACGGCCCAGCTCATCACCCCCAGGGAGAAGATGTCGGCCTGCGCCGTGTAGGCCCGCCCGCCCCACACCTCCGGAGCCATGAAGAAGTCGGAGCCACAGGTGGAGGAGAAGTGCTGGCCGGTGGGCTCGCCGCGCAGCGGGCTTCCGCTCACCTTGCTCAGCCCGAAGTCCGCCACCTGCAGGCGGGACGGGCACATGGACGCAAAACAGTAACATGCTGAAAGCAGATGCTTCATTGAACTGAATCAATCCGCGCCGATTCATTATAATCGCTTCAATGATTTAAAGTCAACAAAGAGCTAAATGCATCTTCTGATCAAGCTGTTACAACACTTCTAAAACGTCAACTTTGGTCTTATGGGAAACGATTTTTAAATGAAAAACAGTCATATTTATTTCCTTTCTTCCTATAAATACACAGCACGACATCCCCCCCCAATGGCGATCTGACCCTTAGCGTCACAGCGGCCCGCCTACCTTGACGACGGGGCCCCTCTGCGTCACGCACACCAGCACGTTGTCGGGCTTCAGGTCTCGGTGCGTGATGCCCAGACCGTGCAGGAAGGCCACGGCGCTGCACAGCTGTCGCACCACGCTGCGGTTGCGCTCGCCGTCCGGCGGCCTGGAGAGCAGGTACTGATTCAAGTCGCCCCCGTCGCAGTACTCCATCACCAGCCACAGGGCCAGGCAGCGCGGCAGCGGTGGCGGCTCTTCTTCCCTCGGGGCCGCCCTCTTCCTGGCTCTGCTCGGGAGCCTTTTTGGGGTCGTGGGCCCGGACAGACTTGGTTCCGTCTGGTCTCGACTCGAGTTCGTCCAGTCCCGAAGTCTAGAGACGACGCCGCCGCCGCTGCTGCTGCTGCTGCGCGGGGCGTCGTCCCGGCGTCGCGCTGCTCCGACCACGGCGCCCTTCAGCGCGCTCTCGACCAGACGCAGCGGCACGGCTCCCGGCCGCAGGGGCTTGAGGTCCCGGGGCCCGGTCTGCAGGAGGCAGCTGTGCAGGGCGATGACGTTGGCGTGGCTCCTCGCCGTGGCTCTCATGGCCCACAGCTCCTGCAGGTAGAGCTCGATGCACTCGGGGCTGCTGCAGGGCAGCCGCTTGATGGCCACCCGCTGTCCGCTTTTGGCCACGTGGCCCTCAAAGACCACGCCGTAGCTGCCGCGTCCCACCTCCCTCTCCAGCGTGTACAGCTCCTCCATCGCTCGCAGGGGCCACGGCCTGGCGGGGAACAAGCGCCACGTTACCTTTAACAAAGAGCCGCGTGGGTTGGCGCCGTGAAAGACTGACGTGCAAACCAGTTGGAACATTTCCTTTCCCAGTTGGATTTAATTAAAGACAACGCTAGTTTACAGTCAAACTTTCACATGTATACAAACACAAATAAGCAGAAATAACCATCTTATTTCAGGCCATTTAGACGAGTCACATAATAACAACAACAATAATAAATAGTGTGTGATGACAACAGCATGAGCTGCTGAGCCGAGCACATTTATGTCTTTAATCAGATCATCACACATTAACAAAGAGACAAACTTTACCTCGCGGAAGCAGAAGCTTCTCTGTGTGACGTTAATATCCAGATGTGTTACGTCACGTTTCCGGTGTCCGCGGCTACATAAGAGAGAAGTTACGTGTCGTCTGAAGACGCTCCCGTCACGTTACGTAAGACTTCCGCCCGTCCTGCGTCCTCCTACCAACTCAACTATTTACTAGTAGTCAACAAAACGGCAGATCAACAACAACAACAACACTTCCAGCAGTTAAAGCGAGAGACTTCCGCTTCCACATTCACAGCGTCCCGCTTTGTAATGACGTGCGCTGTGATTGGCTGCGGGCTTTCCGCCCCGTGGTGTGATTGGTCGGCGTCAGAGCCGGGGGGCGGGGAAAGAATTGAAACGCTTGAGACGGCGCCAGGTGCAACGGCTGAACAGGTAAAAGGTGTCACGTGGGCGGCAGCTGCGCTCGTGCTTATTAAAGTTATACAAACGGACTTTTGATATCAAAAAGAATGACGATAGTCAAAGAAACCTTTATTTTAAGAGATGCCGACATATTTAAAACAATCAAGTGATGCTAAACGAGGAGCCTGTTAGAATGAGTGTGTGTCTCATTGGATCCATGTAACATGTAATCTTAACGCACCGAGTTACACCGGCTAAAGACGCGCCCTGTTGTATTTGTATGTCTACTGATGTATGATTATTATAGGCACATTTAATACCCCTTGCTCAGAGAAGGTAGAGGCACAGTTCACTGCACATGGGGGGGCAGAAGGGCCGATCATGCCATGACAATTGTATAATCAAGCCATTTAGATTGACAAAGAGCACAGGATGTGCAAAGACCAAACTTCCCTGGTTGCTGCAGTGCCCATTTAATCACAGAAGACCATCTGAACGCACGCACACAATGAGTTGCTGCTGCATCAGTAGCAACGTTTTTTGGTGGTGCAGCTGCAAACCTTGTTGAAAGATAACAGCATCGGCCTGTGCGTGTGCGTGTGTGTGTGTGTGCGTGAGTGTGTGCGTGTGCGTGTGTGCGCGTTAGTTCTTCTGAGAGAATATAATAGGAAACATGGTGATTCATTGCACTGAAGCACACAGGAAGAAAAAGAGAGTCTCTGAAGTGTGCGTGTGTGTGTGTGTGTGTGTGTGTGTGTGTGTGTGTGTGTGTGTGTGAGTGCTTATTATGTGATCCATAGCTTTTATCAGCAGTGCCAATCATGAATCCTCTTCATTACTCCAGGAAGATGGAGGCAGTCACACTCGGCTTGTCTTTATCTTGAACCACATGCCCTCTATTCTATGATCATACCTCACTGGCTTTGGCTGCAGACACTGGGAGTAATGCAGAGTGCACTCGCGCAGGAGAAGGTATTAGGGAAATATTTAGTGGGACCCACTCGGAGGAGCCAGAGTTGATTTTTCCGAGAGATTCAATCAAGCATTCCAGGCAATCCCCTCCTTTAAAAAAAGTCGAGTCTGATAAGAATTATAGTTCTAATCACCTCTGTTTCCAGACTATAATTGTGTTTCTATGGGGGCTTTGCTTGCTAATTAGGGAGTCCACCAGCAGAGGGGCAACCGTAATTATTTCCTTGATTGAGGTCAGAACCCCTCGCATTTAATCCCCCCCCCGCCCCGTGTAAAGAGTAAACATCTCCTCAGCATTGTGCACTTAATTTCACAGCAGTCGCTCTTCTTAAATGTCAGTAAGCAGCTCGGCCCGGCGTCTGATCGTGCATCCTCACGTCGCGTTATTTTCCATTAGAGAGAAATCCCCCCCAGACGGGCGATGAGATCGATACGGACAAACGCATGAGATACTGCGCGGTGCTTTCTGCTCCGGAATCCAACTCCTTTCGGGGGGCTGACGGTGCACGTTTCAACGCGGTGCCTGTAATTCTTCTTCCATGCGGGACAGTCAGCGTCTTTCTGCAATGGAAATACTTTTTTTGTTCCTGAAGGAAAGAGTCATTTTCTCCCCTGCTCTTAATATCGGCCACTTGCGTCTGAAGAGGGGAAGCCTCCCGCCCCCAGTGAAGCCCCCGGACCCTTTGAGTGAATCTCCCGGTTGGCCTTTAGGCCTCGGCAGTCAAGTACTGAATATGCAAATCCAGAGGAAACAGCGCTTGTGTCTGTTTATTGGGTTCATTGAGTTCATTACAGAGGACGTGTCTGGGGACATTTTGACTGATTGCACAATAAGTTCAGCTTTTATGTCATATAATAATAATATAAAACACCTCGCAATGTTTTCCTGGAAACATTTTAGTCATCATTCTCTGTTTTCCTTATTTAATATGTTTTCATTGATACAAACCAATACGTTTCTTGTTATGAGCCCCCGCCAGCTTTAATCTTGGGATATTCCCCTTTGGAAACCAATTCCACATTTCTACAGGAGGATATTTGCGTTTCTAATCCTTGTGGAGAATTAAGGAATGATGAAAGCTTTGCTCTAAAACAACGAGGATTTTTTTTTTTACACTGGTAAATGATTGAGCTCTACATGCCAGAAATAAACGATGTTTAAAGATTATCTGTTGAACTCGTTTCATCCTTGAAAATGTGTTTTACAAAGTGAAACTCTCAAACGTCACATTTGTTCACGAATTGAATAGATTACAAAAATTCTGAGACAATAATTCAGCCGCCTTCGTTCACAAAAAAACTCCCTAACAAAAGTGGGCCTAAAAGGTTCTGACGTGCCGCGTAAAGCTCGTGGGGGGGCGACCGCGGGGGGGCGACCGGAGGAGGCGCCTGCAGACCCAACAGCCGGCGGATTACGGCGATATCAATGACAGACAGGCGCCTCGCCGGCCGCCCGCTCTTCTTGCCTCCTTATCTCGGCCGCACCGAGCGCTCCGGCGAGCTTCCCAACTCATCCATCACTCTCGGGTTCAGAGGCGGCGTTCACACAGGGGGCTGACGCCGATGCCGGCTCGCCCCCAGCAGGGGGTCCCGGCTGGAGAGACGCAGCTGTGATTTATCTAAGAGAAACACCGTCACCGTGAGGCCGGTCCGGTAGCCTCGCTCAGTCGCTGCCAAGAACAACCGCTGGACGAGCGCACGTGTTTTACAGACATGCGCGGCCCCCGGAGGATGAACCCCACGTGACCGTAGGGGTTTCCTCTCTCTAGCGCCACCAGCAGGTTTAAGGCTTCAACGGAGCCAGTGAAATGTAGTTAAATGTAGTTGCATTGGCGCCAAATGTTGCTCAAACATCCAAATGTGTAAAAGCAGAAATGAGTCAGCAGTTCTACACCTGCGGTTCCGCGGTGTTGAGAATGTACTTTTGGTTCCAGAGGGGTGTTTGCTGACGTGCTCTTCGCTGTGGAACAAAGCACAGATCTCCTCGTGGACGTCACCCGGCTGGTTATGTGGATGTTGGTCCATTAAGGGGACGTCCGGCCCAGTTTCAAAATGAATTAGGCAAATGGACATTGAATTGTGAGGCATGTTCTCCAGGACACAGACGTAGTATTTGAGCACTTGTTCTGTTGTTCACCTGGGGAAACTGCAGTAGGTAAATGGTGTGAAAAAGACTTTTTTAGCTTCTCGGGCTTCTGGCTGAGAGAGAACAGCTCGTGTTCACAACATTTGATTGACTTGTCATGGAAACAACACATTGGTATTCTTCGTTTGGGTGGTGTTCTCCGTCAAGCCTCGTTTATGGCTTGACAAAACACGTGACTCCACCTGTTGTTCTGACGGTGAATCGCTCTGCAACACACGCAAGACTTTAGAACCAGGCAGTGAAACGAGTGCATCGATACGACTGCGCAGACGCAGTTGCTGAAGTACGCCAGAGCCTTTAGTGTTTCACGCCGCTCTAACATTTGTGAGCAATCGCTTGAGGCTGAAAACGCCGTTGAGAGAGCGGTTGAACCAGACCAGCAGAGAGCAGCAACAAGTCGGCTCAATAGCGCAGAGGAGCTGCAGCTCTCCATGGTAGTTCGCCCCAGGTCCGACACCACGAGCCCCCCCACCCCGTTCAACACTCTCATAGCGGCACTGCAGACATTGCAATTCAAATATCAATGACGTCCCTGTCTTCCCTGTCTGTCCTACCTTTGTATCACCACAGAGACAGCTTCTGGGACTGTGTCTGATCAGCAGCCCCAGACTGTCCATCGACTGCTCTACATTGTTCTCTCTTTCATTGAAAAGAAGTATAAAGTCCCCTATTCAGGTGTGGTGCCATCTCCTGACAACCCCCCCCCTCACCGGCACACAGCCTCATCGACCTGTGATCATCTCCTCGCCACTGCTTCTTTCGCTGGTTCTCAACTGGATTTTCTGGGGTGACCACTGCTGTCGCTCATCCGCGACCTTGGCAGCCGGTTTGGTGTCAATAGGCTGCGTCTTCTTCATGGACAGCTAACACATCGGAATCCTGGTTCAACGTCTCGGTGGACGGTGCGTATTTTTAGAGCCCCATTAGCTGGCTGCGTGAAGACGGAACCGATGGCGTAGGTGACGCCTTGCTACGTCAGTGCAGAGCGGGGTCACGGGTTGTGTGGGGGTTTGGTGCGTAACAGAATGGGGGAATCCACCTCTCTCGCTCTCTTTTCCTCTCTCCCTCTCCCACCCTCCTCTCTGTGAGTGGTGATGTCGGGGGGGGAGTGGTGGTGGTTATGGCGCTGGTGGGGGGGGGGGCTGGGGGTTGAGCCAGGAGGGAAGGGGTGTGCCGTTATAAGAAGCCTCAGAGGAGGCATGCGTTCAGTTGTTGGAAGCCTCAGCCTAAGGATACGAGCTGAGCCACACAAAGTCTCCCGTGAGCAGCAGAAGGAGGAAGCTGACGGAGGACCTTCACGTCACAGACACAGGTAAGGAAGTGCTTGAGCGTGACCTCTTTGTTTCTCCTTCACGTGAGCGTGAGTCTACCTGTGTGGGGAGGTCGTGCCGTTAAGAGCTGATGAAGGGAGGAGCGTGCAGGGGTTTAGAAGACGACTTGTTGTCTGGTGAATGTACAAACTAGCGGCTGATAGATCCTGAGGGAACGTTGGTGGGGAAACCACTCGTTCATGCCCCTCAAGCCCCTTTTATCAATGGAGTTTTCTCCTTGGTCTGTGTTTTGATCTCAGGTGGGGCCTCCTGTAAATAACCCTCCTCACCTGCAGGTAACTCTTTTTCATCACATGGATTGTGTCCCTGAAGGTACCACCACCATCGTCCGTACGCACATCGCACCTGGTTCTCACTTAATTAACAGGATGCAAAGTCCCGAGTGGTGTTCATGGAGCAGTTAGACGCTTAACTACGGCCCTTCTGACTACGTAGAAATGTATATAATATGAAAAGAGATAAAAAAAACATTCAGATTGAGCTACAAAGATACAAAATAAAGTAATGTGTATATATACATATATTATTATACACACATTATATATATTCATTTATAATAGGCATTTAAAAAATCGTTTTTACCAAAAATTAAAGCTAAATTGATTTTAAAACCACATTATCAATGAATGCGTCTCAGAAAGCGTTTTTTATGCTTCGCCCTCTTGATAGATTACGGAGTATTAAATGTCACATTAAACACATCACACAAAGTCTTCATAGAAATGCTGCCAAAAGCTTTTTTGTCTTACCCAGTTTCACCAGTTGAAGGCTGTTATTATGCCTTGCACATGATAATGGTGATTTTAATGATAATGGTAATGAATGTGCATAATCTTTTCCCATTATCGGTAAAGTGGCGCAGACGGGGGAGAAAATGGGTGGTTAATGTGCCATCCACAGATAACAGATAGATGACTTCACTGGGGGAAATGTTTCATGAGGACTACAACATGTTTACAGTCTCACATTCTACCAGACTTGCTGGAATAATCCATTTTAGTGTTTGCAGTCAACCAATGCACGTTGAGTTTTGTACTCCTTTCATGTAAAAAAATAAAATATGACCTTTTGTTGAGGTCTCTCAATATTAATAATAGTCCCACTATAATAACTTTGTAAATATATTTCATATAAATCTGAAATTGGTTTACTCAAACTGTTGCCAAAAGTCATAATCATATTTTAATTACCCGACGTAATGTTCTGTGTTGGTGGTTTGCCAGTACAAGATGAGCATTCGCTCTAATCAGCGAATAACAGCTTTTTTATTATTTCTGCTGCACTGTGATTAAACTGATTACATGATTTTTTTTAGACTTGGGGTCAACATCCATTAAGACTATTTGCAGTATTTCACAAAAACAAATCCTCTGCCTCACCACAGAATGATGTACTGCGCAAAACGGGCCAAAGTTAGAGAGAAGTTCCCCTCATTTCTTCCTCCATCCTCACCTTGATGAAAGTGGCGAGCTTGTCTGGCTCTGCTAGATTGCCGTTCCCCTCCGGCTCCGTGTCCAATGGATTAGCGCAGTTGTCGACGCAGCTTAACGGCAAACCAGATCAGCGATGCCACCGTGTCAGCCCACGATTTCAGCCGCGCCGTCTGAGGACGGAGAGCGTCATTAAGGCAAAAGGTCCCATTGTGATGGTAACCTTTTGTTTCCCCAGCAGCTGATTCCCGCTTTGACCGGTGACATTTCCTTTTTAAGTTGTGTGATTGCTGGTTTCGCTGTATGTCTGCACCATGAAACACACGGCCTCTTAAACAGCAAAACAACCTTTATGAAAGCCAAGATTGACGTGAATGCTGCTCTCTGCAAACATCGTCCGCCTTTTGTCTCAGGAAGAATATGAAACAGGTTGTGAGGCAAATCAAAAGGCGGCACTCGGCTCTAAGTGGGCCATCATCCGGGCAAACGGCGCGGGGAGATTATTTCGCTGCAATAAAGACGGACTTCATGTGGACCAAATTAGAGGACTGCTGGTGTGAGTTCATCAGATGCTGCAGGAGGATCCACCCGCAGGTGCAAATGTGTTCCCCAATTAAAAGAAACACAGCGAGTATGAAGACAATAGCAATGATATGCACAATTGATCTGATATGATGGCTGTTGGAGACTATGAAGAGTTTTGCGTCTCCCCTTGATACGTATGTGGAAGCATTGCGGGCTGTGATATGAGGTGAGAACAAGAGGCAGTTTATCAGACTGTGTCTGCGTGAGACCAGAGTTCCCAGAGCAAAATAACCAGGAAGCTTCTTCAAACTGATGCAGTGACACACAAAGAATCCCTGAGGCAGAGCGCGTCTAATGGCAGCATCACCACGACCTCGATGACCTTTGCGCTGTATCTGCAGCGTGATCCGCGCTGCGCACAGTTCCGTGGTAACCGGGCGCCCGTAGGCAAACGGATCCACGCGGGGAAACCCGGTGGCGCTGCGGCGGACGCGTCTAAATGGGATTAAGCGCATTCCTTCAGATGAGTCATTTCAGGGACCCGTCCTGCACACGAGGGGGGGGCACCCACCTTTCCCCGCGCCGTGGCGTCTGAACACTCTTTATCTGGGGCTGTGCAGGCTGCAGATGATCGCGTGACTGCGCTGTGACTGACTCGCTATCTGTGTTTGGACAGGACGCCCGTGGTCAAAGGCCTCTTGTTGGCGTTGGGTTCTGGGTTTTGGGTTAAAGGAAGAAGCATCTTTCAGGTGTTCCGTATAAGACGGGCTCGTGGTCGCCCATCGGTTTGTGCACCGCAGTTTGGACGCTTTGGGTTTGGCGTTTTGGTCGTCGCCATCTTGGTTTTTTTGAAGCGCAGTTGGCATGAGTTAATGAATTAAACGATGTTGGCAACCAAAATGTTACAACTAAGTTTAACTTGCTGCTTTATTGAAGATGACTTAGAACAAGAGATTGAGGGAATAAACCAAGTCGACTCGTTTTCTGACTGAAGTTTCCTCGATGCGCTTTGCGGTGAGCAGAATCACCCCAAACCAAGCTGGAGATTATTCCATTAGGGTTGGACATTTAAACGTCTTACTCGGGTAACGTCTAATTGCAGGCAATCAATGACCTATGACCTCACGCCGAGAGGCCTGTGATGAGTCACCACGCGAGGAGGACCGGCGTGTTGCAGGAAACGTGGTTCTCATTTAAGGTTCCAGCCCTCTGCAGCGTTGATTCAACTACCACGGTTATCAGAAGAGGGAAAAGATTGTTTGTTAATATTCATCTGTGCTGCTTTTCCAAGGATTCTTCCATTTTCTCGACTTTGAGAAGCCTCAGAGATATTTGACTCCCCCTCAATACAACGGGAATGTGGATAATCAGTTATTAAACCCTGTCTCCTGGACTATATACCTGCATATATATAGATATAATGCATATACATGCTTTAATCTCAGGTTATAGAGTCAAATTACAAAATCATTTAATATCGTTTCTCACACCAAAGTGCATCCGGTTTGATGTGCTGAGACTGACGTTTGTTGCACCCACAGTATCTAAACAGCACGAGTTTTCCCGGTTTGGGACGCTGATGTCTTCTTTTCCATGAGCAGTCGCAGCAGAATATCAGAATATATAATATATATATATAATAAATATATATATATAATAGCAGATAACAGAATATCGTGTTAGAATGAGAGAGACCAGCATTTAAAACCTGGTGGAGGAAAACCATCAACACCGAAGGATTACGTTTTCCTCCCGAGTAAACTAACCCTCGAGGAGAAGAGACGGTATTGATTTCCCACGAGCGCCCGGAGAAATGTATCAGAACCGGGCTGCAGAAAACTATGAATGTTGAACGGGTCCGATGAGGCTTGTCTTTTATAGGCCCGTTATCCCACATCAACGCGCTTTCAACCAGCCATTTGTGAGGCAATAAAACGCTCACGAATCTCTGCAGGTTATAAAGAATAAAGCGGGTACCATTAATAGAAGTAATAGGTGGAGCAGGAATTTTAATTGTTTTAGTAAAAAATGACCACATCTTCCGGCCTTCCGTCTTCTGGCTTCAGCTGGTCCTTAATCAAGCAGTTCTGAGATCCACACACTGGTGAAATGATTTAAACAGGGAAAATAATCCACAGATGCGTGAGGGAGATTAGTGGAAGTGTCGGGGCAGGAAGTGGAGTTATCTCTGCATCAGCAGCCGTGTTGTGTTCTCCGGCTCATGCAGGTGACTAATGGAGGAGATGGCTTGAGTCAGAGCTTCATTGCCCCGTGTTCCTTCTCTCCTCCTCTGTCTTTTACCGGTGACACTTTGGTCTCCTCTCCATCCTTCATCACAGCGCTAATGTGGATTTATTAATATCCTTTGCTTTGCACGTTTGCACGTGATGTTCAGTCTGTTCGCATCTCTGAAGGCCGTCGTTGACCCGAAGGATCAAATAAGTAGAGATGAACTTATGTTTCCATAGCAGACCCAAAGGAATGCTTGTATTCTAACTACATTTTGGAATCATATTATGTTTTAAATTTCAGCGTCAAGCAGGACAACGTTGGAATAGTTAAGCGTATGTAGGATTTAAAGACACGTATAATAGAGAAGTGCAACACGTCCTCTTTAATCCCCCATGGTGGCAGTTAAAGAACCGGTGTGTGGAAATAGAGGGTCAGAAAGTATAATGATGAGTGTGTTCTTTAGAATTGTGTGTTTTTCGTGAACGGAGCCAGCTGTTGTTTCTATAGAGGACTAATCAGACACCGGCTCCGGGTGGAAGAATGAGGATGTTGCAACCTGGCGGCTCGATGCTGCACCTTTAAGAACAAATCTGTTCATTAGAAGCGTTCTCGCATGCAGGCGAGCAAAGAGTGAGTGGAACCAATCCAAGCACTCAACATTTCTCCAGATATCCCTTTGAACTCAGACAAAAAGCTGTTTTCAGAAAAACAACATGCATGCGACGGGAGCCCCTTTAATGAAGGCTCTGATTGCTTCCTGGGGAGAGCGTCTTCTCTGGTAAACATGTTCAGGGTCTTAGTTAACTCTAATGGAAGCATATAAGAGTGTATTTGTTTCGGAACGAAGCGGGTAAAAGCATTCATTTGTGCAAGATGGAAATACTAATCTAAAAGTAGAGGAACATCAAGCCTTTTGTTAGGGTCCATTTTCTGTCTCTGCTTTCATGGCAGCCTTCTTTTGAATGGGCGAGGTTGTTAGTATTTGAGAAGAATGAGGATATGTTGTTAAATGCAGCTCTGCTGGACGGATTGTTGTGTCCTGGTGCTCCCGGGTGTTCAGGTTCGGGTTTCCCATTAGGCCCATTCAGAGCATCGCGTATAAGCCCCTCGCACACGGCCCAGAGTCAGCATCAGGACCAAGAGCGCTATCGTTGCAGGGACGGAGCAGAGAGACGAGCGGGTTCATGCCTCAAAGTGGCTCCGATCAGAAGATGCAAGAGTTGTTGAGATTTCGGTCAAGCCGTTCGTCTGCCACATTAATCACCGCACGCCGAGGAGCCGCATCTGTGTGACACTGGCTTGTTTCTGCCGTCTTCAGTTGGTAAATGAGGGGACTTTTAAGGGATTTGGAAGCAGCCGAGATGTCCCGTTGGTCCTCCGTCGCCCTTTACCAAACACACACGTCCGGTCTCTGGTCGAAGCCCCGCTGTGAAAACCCTCCTCCAGAACATCACAACATCTTCTACAACCGTCTTCGCAAGCGGCCATTTTGAAATGTTATTGCAGGGTAAACGGTGGGTGATCGTCTGATAAGGTGCATCAGATAGAACAGCACCGGTGTTCAGCCAGAGAGCTCGTCATCGCCAATAAACTCAACTTACTGTGTCCGATGAGCGCAGTGTTTCAGCATGAACAGGTCCACAGATGAACCTTTTACGCGTGTAAATGATTGTGGCGTCTTCTCCTGATTTGAACACCAGCCCGTACTGATGGTCCCCTTTGCAATTCAGCTTCTGAGGAGAAGACAGCCGCTCACGTCGTTACTCGTGAATCACGTTAAACCCGCCGAGGCCACAGATGTGCCTCATTCACAGCCTCCTTCTCAGTGGTGAAGACTCCCATCCAAAAGCAAGATGGCGGCTGCGTGCGTCCTTGCCTGAGAGACGTGAACCGCTCTGCTCCTCAACGGCCACCTGTTGTCCGTGTTCAACAAATCTGAGGGCTCCTTGAAACGAATGAATAAATGCAACTCTTCTCTCCATGTCAATTCGGTACAAAATCAGTTTAAGATTGGACGGATCGCCATGAGACATGTCTTTGACAAAGGCTGTGTCTCTTACGTGTGTCCTCATCAAACCATCCTTGAAATACCCAGAAACTATTGTTTCTTTTGTGAAGTGAAAATAAAAGGCAGTGATGATTTGCTGCTTTACCTGAGAGGAGCCGACGCCGTCCCCAAATTGTTTAGCTAAAAGCCTGAATCCCATCAGTCCAGTGTGAGTGTGTGAGGACGAACTAATGGACGTCTTTTGTCTGATTATAAAGCTCCGGATGGACACCGCAGGACGTTTTATTAATAGCAGTGATCACAAAAAAGCTCATATGAATACAATGAATAGAATGTTATCAACGTGCATCCAAAGCCCTCACGTCACGGATGCAGCGCAGGCTTAGTCATTATTCTGCCCTCTTATAGGTCCCACACCAGGACAACATGACACTATCAGATGGGTTTAGTCAGCAGCTTACAGATGAACACTGCAGCAAACATCTCAGCAGGCAGGTCAACACGTCCCTGTTTATACACCTGGGGGGGAACGTGGTGCAGCGGCACTAGTTCTGACCTGTTGTTTTTACATCAGTGTACCCGTCAGAACAAGATTCTCATTCTCTCGCATCCATCTGAGGTCTCCTCGGCAGCTGGGACGGTCCGGTCCTCGTGGATTAGTTCGGTCAGATTGTTTGGATCCGCAACCGTTTGCTGCCGAGTTGAGTTGGTACGGCCGCCAGGCCAGATGTGCTCATTTGGGCTGCAGCCTGCGAGGCCTTGACCCCCCTCCGCTCACTTCACGGTCTCAGACGTCTCGCCAACCCGTTCACATCGTCCACCCCCAACGCTTTGACTCGATGCCTAGAAAGTGGGACTGATGCCCCCCCCCCCCGTCTGCTTTCTCCCCCGCAGGCTGGAGCCACGTCCCAGAAGGCCTCATTCTCCAGACTCTCCAGCTGGTGACCCCCTTTTTTTTTTTAGCCTCTCCCCTTGCTGCAAGCTGCTTGTGTCGCTGAGCTGAGCGATGAAGATCCCTGTGTGGTACCTGCTGGTGCTGCTGGCGAGTGTCTTCACCCCCGGACGCGGCGACTGCCAGGGGGAGTGCGTGGCCTGCGGAGCCCTCCTGCAGCAGCAGCAGCTGCCGCAAGCCTTCAACGCCTTGGTGAGTGTTTGTAACCCTAACCCTAACCCACCCGCCCTCCTGCCGTGTGCCAGCGTGGGGCAGCGCCGCCCGGACGGGTGTCTGTCTTTGTGTCGGAGGGACACAATAAGAGCTTTGGCACGTTGACGCGTTGCTGTGCACTTTGTTGGACTGTGTTAAGGAAAATGTGATTATTGTTTCTTGTGCAAAGAAAGCTAATTTTTCAAAGCTTATTTGTGTAAACCGTGTAATAGCGAATGCACTTTATTAATAATAATACATCTTAAATCATCAAAACACCTTAACCATTATGTTCAACTCAGTTTATATGATCAAAACCAAAATAATTGCCCTGCAGGGCTTTTATACATCCTGACATGGAAGAAATCCATCAAGGAAGGTTTAAGAGTCCATTGTTCATTAAATGACTTATATACGATCAGTTTTATTCATGTAGGTTATTAACCTAACATATTAATATAACAAATATAAAAAGACACAAACTACAATTCTAACACTATTCATAATCACACACGTTTTAATAATGCTAAACGCTAGCATCCACATGCTAACATACTGAAAGTGTCATTGCACACAGTGTCAGGGGTGCGTGGGAAGGCAGGACTCAAACGGGCAAAAAGACGAAAGACAGGGACGAGGAACATCCAGGACGAAAGACAGGGACGAAGACGAAAGACAGGGACGAGGAACATCCAGGACGAAAGACAGGGACGAGGACGAAAGACAGGGACGAGGAACATCCAGGACGACAAACAATGACGCGACAAGTGACAAGAGACACACGGCTTAAATACACTAGGGAGGTGCAGGTGATTGGACACAGGTGGAAACAATCAGACAATCACAGGGGATGACAGGACAAGGCAGGAAGTGAAGTTACCCGGGGAGACAAGAAGCAGAAAACTACTAAATAAAACCACACCGTGACACACGGTATCTTCATCAAGGTGAATGTTTAAAGGAGTAATGCTTGATGTTCAGGGAATAAACACTAACAACAGTCTTCATATAAGGGAAAGTAAGAATAAACTCCCAACAGTTTCCGTTGCAACCAGACAGGAAGCGCGTCGTGCTGGAAGCGTCTCCATCCCTTGTGCCGTGAGACCGACACGAAGGTACCAGCTTCTACGGCGACGCGAAGCCCTCGAGCTCCAGCAGCGAACCGCAGCATCCCCAGACAGCGGCGGGTAGAAATAGTCCGTGGGCGTCCACGAGTAGCTGTGGGACGGCTAATTTAGCCCATAATGATGCAGAGAGAGAGACAGCTGGGACCTTTTGGGGAGCGGTGATAGAACTCTGTAATGGACTGCTGCTCGGTACCATCGGCCCGGGTCACGCTGGTGACTGACACATTTTATCAGCTCCTCATTGTGTTCGCCGCTTTCCTGTTGAGCCCCAGATGGAACTCAGTAATTCCATTGTTTCCCCTGCAGACCGCCGGCGAGCGTATGTGACACACACACACACACACACACACACGGACACACACACACACACACACGCACGCACGCACACGCACGCACGCACAAGCACGCACACACACACGCACGCACGCACGCACGCACGCACGCACGCATGCACGCACACACACCATTTCATAGCATCATCCCTTCCAAGGACTCCACTCATTGCCAAATGTTAATCTTAAGAGTAAATCCAACTTTTGTGCTAGTAATTGTCGACTACAGCAATGTCTTAAATAATCCTGAGCAGCTTTATATATATATATATATATACATATATATATATATATATAAATATATAAATATATATATATATATATATATGCACAACTTATTCCTGTAGAGCAGTGCTTCTCAAACTTTCAGTCACAACCCACTTTGGAAAACTGTCACCCAACAAAATTGTCCAATTTGCCCAAATTGTACATGTTGAATTTTTATTGAAGCAACATGTTGTGCCTCCTCCATCTATGCGTTTTCAAATAATAGGACTGAAAGAAATGCATTCACTGTCAACAAAGCAAGATTGTTCCATCAGAAAACCACTGAAACGAAAGGTAAAAGCATCTAACCAGATCAGTGATACTGAGAATACATAATGAACCAATGAAATAGTGATGTAAGAGGCGCAGTAGAATGGGTCTGCTTGTTTTAAACACAGAGAGTGAGACGTACGTTCAGTATATAAGAGGACGCAGTCCCTCTGACGCCATCAGCTACTTTGATTCCTGGAGTTTGGGATCTTTGCCATCTTGGTGACTGTGACCATCTTTGTCTTTTGTGACACGAGAGCGTTCGTTAAGTACAAGTTCGGCTGAGATGTCGGAGATGGGTAATGCAGTTCTGCTCTGAAAGGACCTTGTATATCCGTTTCGGAGATGGATTCTACTCAGATGAGGTTCAGATCCACAGGGGGGGGAAACCACAGCGTGGTGGTTATGGTCAAATATGGTGAACCAACTAGAAGCAAATGCTGATTGTAAGCTTGTGTTGAGCTTGAGACGCCCACGTGTCCAACGTGTTACACGTCAGCCCACCACCCCGCCCTCCACACCCCCAATCAACACCACGAGGGCGCGCTGGTTCTCACATCAGCACTAGTCAGGCCTAAATTGTAATTTGTCCCATATAGACAGAATTCCTGTTGAGACTGAACTGAGCTAGTTTAGGGTTGTGAGCCTGACGCTGTCACGACAACCGCCGCCGCATCACGGCGCCCTCCTACGCGTCATATCCAGGCAGTGCTGGTCAGTCTGGACGCGTCATGGGGGGCGTTACAAGTTCCACTCGGAGTCTTTTCAAAATATTCCTCATTCAACAAGATGGTTTGTTTGACCGACGCTATACAACCCGACACAGGTGGGTTCATACTGAGGTAGTTTAAAGTGTGTCTCCTACAGATGTTCAAAGTTCTTCAGGCAACCGGAGAGTAGTAGAATTCTTAAAGGCTTCTTTTTATTTCTAAGGTCTCATCATCAAAGTACCTCAGAGGGAACTATGAGGCGACATGGCCGTCACCCGTTCATGTGTAAGGACTCCTGGATGGCACCAGGAGGTGATCTTCTGCATGGCACCAGGAGGTGATCTTCTGGATGACACTAGGAGGCTATCCTCTGGATGACACCAGGAGTTGATCTTCTGGATGGCACCAAGAGGTGATCTTCTGGATGGCACCAGGAGGTGATCTTCTGGATGGAACCAGGAGGTGATCCTCTGGATGGCACCAAGAGGTGATCTTCTGGATGGCACCAGAAGGTGATCTTCTGGATGGCACCAGGAGGTGATCTTCTGGCCCTCAGGGCCAACAGTCACCCACGGGGGGAGGGGGGGCTCTGGCCACTAGCTGGAGCTGTGGAACCCATCCGGATTCCTTCATTGGACGGGTAGCAGAGCGCGGGACAAAGGTCCCCATCCGGGCTTCATGCATGAGTCCCGTCCTGAACTCTTCTCTCCTGAAAACCCTTCAGTCTCACCAGGAATGTTCTCAGGGCTTTTCCACCCGGTGTAAATGAACTCACTCACTCATAAACTCTCTTAGATTGCTCCATTGATCCGACGGGGAGAATCCCCCAGTGTGCGCATTTCATTTACGATGGATAATTAATTTCCGCTGATAGATTCGCAGCGGAACTCCCTCTTCTCCCAGAGCTTTGATGTGAGCAGGTTTTCCGATAACAATGCAATTTATCTCATTTATGCAAAATTTGATGAGTAAATGGGATCTGCGCCTTACCTCAAACTGAAATTGAACCTGGAGGACTCGGGAGCTTTATAAGACGGGGTAAGAAGAGATGTGTGCGCACAACCTGTAACCTCTGTACGACCACAGCGCGACGCGTCGGGGTCTTCTGAGGGCGGGGTGATACATTTAGTATCAAACAAACAATGAAAATAAGAATAACCCAAATGGCTGAGGCAACAAACTTCAGATGTTCTTCATACGTCCTCTCCTCCACACTAGTGAAGGGATGTGAGTTCTCAGGCTCGAAGCTCATCTGACAGGCGTGAGGAAAACAGGACAGGAAGGTCATTAAAACTGCACAACCCATCATATATAAAAAAATACCATGAATGTCATTTTAACAGCAGTAACGTTTCATTAGCAGAAGTTGAAGAGCCGAGCTGGAAAACGCCAGTAATTTGCCTGCTATCCTTCAAACTAATTTGTCATTTTTTACCCAATCATGTGCTGTCAGTCATTTTTGCAGAACTGGATGTGACTTTTACAAGATGATGGACACACACGCCTTCTCGTATCAATAACTCACATGACGCACGCGGCACTGCGGTCTGAGGCTGCTCTCTGGTGTGCTCGCAGCCGGCGGCACAATAGTAACAGAAAGTTCATTTCACAGGAAATTACCTTATTAATGATACCGTGGACCTTATGCTCATCAATGTTGGACTTAGGAAAATACAATTCATTTAATTTTGTTTAGTAGGAACCACGCTGCTCAGAGGGTTTGAACACATGCGACATCCTCTGTACCGAGACCCTCCCGTCAGCACGGGAAGAACCAACACAGGAACTTTAAGGAGAGCCTCTTCCAAGATGGACACAATGTGGTAGATGTCACGTGGACACAATAAACGACGTAACCGATGCACACTCCGTTCACTGAATATGAAATAAATTATTCAAATATTAATAGTAGGCGAGGTATAAAGGAGACCACCCCCTTCAGATGCAACCACCACCAAAGAGACGTTGGATTACGATGACGGTAATAGTCATGTGACTAATACTAATAACCATAGTGGCAGTAGGTACACTTAGGTATATAAATAAGGCTTTTGTGTCTAAATTTAAATTGATTCTGTTTGTACCTCGGCTCCGTCTAATTGGTTCAGACGCCCATCAGCCACACTTCTGTTAACCTTCAATGTTCTGAGCAGCAAACAAATGCACTGATATTGAGCTGCGTTGGCGCTTCCTTGTACGGCACAAGACGCTGGTGGAGGTTAAATACAAACAGTGAAAGTTTAAGCCTCACTAACATGCAGGACTGAGGCCCCGAGGTTACACAAAGGGCCACAGCAGCAAAACTAAAGAGCAGCTACACCCGCGGACCAGGTCTTCAATTGCTCCTCAGGCCTCAGGCTGACTGCTCACACAGGTTGACCCTAATCCTCTCCCTCCTGCCTCCCCAGGTGTGTTTTCTGGAGTGTGAGGGCGGCGTCTCCTCCTCGTTCACCTGGGAGGTGTGTCAGCGCGCCATGAAACTGTCCCGCCGCCCCTCCCTCCCTGGAGGGGGCGCTGTGCTGGGCAGGACGGGAGAGGGGCTGGAGCTCACCTATCTGGACATGAACCCTGACAGCCAGCTGCCGCAGTCCGCCGCCGCCGCAGAGCAGGACGGGGCGCCCTTTGAGCAGCGCAGCGCCCCGTATGACTCATCGCTGCTGGAATCCTCCGAGGGGGAGGAGGTGGAGGAGGAGGGGGAGGAGGGCCCGCTCGGTTGGCATCCGAGTCTGTCGGACGGCGAGGGGATGCCGAGGGAGGAGAGGAACGTGGGGAGCGACGGCCAGCCGGAGGGGCTGAGAGGGCAGGAGGCCTCGGGGGCCGTCACCTTGTCCAAGCGCTTTGGCGGCTTTCAGAGGGGGCGCCACGGATACAGGAAGCTGATCGGCTCGTCCATGAGGCCCCTGCAGAAGCGCTACGGCGGCTTCATAGGCGTCCGGAAATCTGCCCGCAAGTGGAACAGTCAGAAGCGGGTGAACCAGCTGCTGAGGCAGTACCTGGGCCTGAGGAGCAGCCGCAGCGGCAGGGTCGGCTACGCCCCGGTGACTCGGGTGTGGAGGCAAAACCAACTGTAATGCTTTTTCCGTTTGCTCACTCAATCAATCACGCCTTCATCAGCCCACTCACGCTTTGATGAGCAGCGTGATGAGCTTCCCTTCGAGCACATTTTCATGCCATCCTGTGAAATAAAAGAATTAGAGAAGTAAAATGGAACATATATTTTTGTGTGTTGTGGGCGTATTGAGCAAAGAGCCAAATGACGGTTCTACTGCGAGCTTTTCACCAGAGGTGACCCCCGAGGGCGGGACATTGAACGCCACGTTGATGCGCTTTGTGTGGATGGAGTTTTGCACTCTGTGTTGTGTGAGCTGTTACTAACGTTCAGTCCCCCCCCTTTAAAATGGTATTTGAGACAAAACACGCAGATGATGAGTTTGTCCCCCGGGAAGCAGCAGGCTCACAGGGCTCCTCCCAGTGGAGCAACACTGGCCTCTAGTGGTTGTGCAGATGTTTCCCCATCAAGGGCCTCAACAGATGCTGATCCCACATGAATGTCCTTCCCAGTAAAACATACAAATCAGACAGTTTGTGAAAAGTATCATTCCTCAAACTGACAGTGTCACTCGTGTCGGTTTATTAGCCATCAAAGGGACAAACATGATTTCAGGTTTTCAAGTTCCCGCCCCCTTTTTGAGCCTCCAATTGTACAGAAGGAAATAGCTGAAACACTTAAAAATAACATAGAAAAAGTAACCAAATTAGTCAAATTCATGTAACTATTTCCAGCTAACTCGGGCAAAGAGGATGAATTGACCCTTCGCTAAGTCCCGCCCTCAAACGCAGACGTCATAACGGAAACGTTGGAGGGACATTTACGTCTCCAGAGCACTTCTGTTCCTTTAGCTTTCCTCTGAGACGTCCGTGGTTCGTTACTCGTGACGTCATCACAGGTTGGTGGCGGTAAAGCCGGGGGGCGGGGCTTAGCGAAGCACATCGCAGGTTCAAGTCAACAACCACAGTGCTGTACCGCAGCTTCTCCACGCGGACCCCAAAGATGAGCATGAGGACGTTCTCGCAGTCTCTCACGCACCCTGAAGTCTAAAAAGTCAAATGAGGTGTTTCTGCAAAGGAAATCCGTTCTTTTCCATCTTAACGGTGTTAGCGGTTGATTGACGCGGCGTGATGACGTCGGGTTTGAGTGCGCGCGTGACTGTAGCGTGACTGTGCACGTGCATGTGTGCGTTTCTTTGTTCCCCCTGTGAATACCGTGTAAATTTCAGACTACATTTCTAACATGACACCATTGTTCTGAGTCTTCATACAAAATGTGTATAGAAAAAAAACACAATAAAACAGTTTGCTATTTATTTTGTGGACTGTCGTGCCGAAGAAGAAGAAAAACACTTTTCAAATCCTCAGTGCTTTTTAATTTGTGTTTGACAATATATTTCCTTTTTTTAAATGGTTTTATTGCTATTACAAACTCCTTTCCTAATGCAAGTCCGGCTGCCGTGACTCCATAGCTTGAGAACCATTAACACTGGTCGTACGCCGACAGACGGGCAGGAAGGAAACAGGAACTTGGTCCAGTCGAACCAAATGTAGCTTATTCTTGTGAGTTTATAGTCCAACAAAGTGCCAAAAAACATGAAGAATAACAAAAGAAAGTCTGCCCAGTACACGGGCGGAACGAGACCATAAAAAAACAAGGTATAAATACTTGTACGTAACTCAAAGCACACGATATAATGTAGATCATGACCACTGTGTAACCACTGGAAGAGAGGAGATAAAGACAACAGGTAATACAGTGGAGCTACAGGTAGTAACAGGAACCTTTGGATAAAGTAGGAGAGTATTGTAGGCTTAGCACATCACGTGACCAAAGTCAGACAGCAGTTAGCACCGTCGCAGACTTCAGGATCAAGTTACAAAGATACAGAAAAGTCCTTCAGCGTTTCTTTAGGAAAGAGGCTACATCCACTCCAACGCGCCTGTGGACGCGAGCGTCTTAGCACCGTTTCTAGAAGTGACCTCCAACCAAACCGACGCCCGTCACATGAACCTCCACCTGCGCCGGGCGTCTGGCCGTAAACAGGAAGCCGGGCGTCTACTCGGCGGTCTGAAGAACAGGGACGCCGCAGATTTCTTAGCTAGGACTTGTAATGTTAATACGTCTTATTTAATAATCGCCTGAAAAATGATGGTTTTGTTTGCTTGAAGTAAGCTGTTTATGCAGAGTTCCAATCAGTTGCAATCTGCAACCTCACCACTGCATGACCCCATGACCCCATGTCCTAGTCCGCATGACCCCAATGACCTCGGGCGTGTCTCAATCCCGCTGGGCTGCATCCTTGAGGACGCAGCCGTCACACGTCACTTCGGCTGCGACTCGGTTGTCTCGGTCCTCCAGGAGCCGGTGTGCAGGACACGTCTGATCTGTCCTTTCCCAGCATATCCCAGCATGCAGTGCGGGCCGACGAGGATTTAACTCATTCAGGACGGAGGCAGGTGAGAGTTCACTTTTAAACGTAACTCACTGAAGTTATCAGTGAAAAGTTTAACTGTGACACTATGGAGGTTCACTGACGTCCTACTGAGGCTGTGACGGTTTTATATGTAGTTTATACTTCACATTATGAACAGAAATGGATTCAAGTTGTGAACCTGAAACATCACTTTCTAAGTCAGCAACGTTACAGACGTTGGGAGTAAAAACACCAATAAACTGGAGCTGCTTGCTTTGCTGCAGTTGTGTGATCATGAACTTTACGTTTAGTTGTGTTTCATGGAGCAGGAGGAAGAACCATGTGTGTGGTGACATTCAGATTAAATTAGCTCGTATATTTAAGAAGAAATTAAAACGTCTGTCTACGAGTTGATAAATGTGTTTGCTGCTGTGTTCTTTTTTTTTTTTTTTACTGTATTGATTGATTTCCGCTGCCTTAAGACTGCAACATCAACCCATTTTAATTTAAAATGGCGTTATTGAAATACATCGTGCTCCGCAGGTGACGCAGTGATTCCTGAATAAAATGGAATAAGAAGCTTCTCTTCTCTCAGTGGTCTGGTTCAGCCTATGTGCTTGTTGGAGGACCCGGGACCCAGGTAGACCATGAAGGCCGGGTCCTCAGGAGGATGCAGCCCACTGGATTGAGACACAGATCGGATGAAGTGAATCTTTTCTGCTGGGACGGGGTCAGTGGCGGGGGGTCAGGCCTGGGACCACCCTACTTTCTCACTGCCCGGATGTGGTATCTTACCTGTTGAAAGTGATGAAATCGTGATCACAGTTCTACAAACTGTGCAGTTAGTTTGTGTTTGTGCTTGGAGACGGTGAAATAAGAAGTCGGCGGCTGACGGAGTGGCGCTGTACATTTGACAGAAATGGAGGGAAGGAGATAAAGTCAACGCGGCGGCGGGATCTGTGGTGGACAAGTGTAACCCAGAGATGTGACCAGAGTGGAGGTGTAACCTGTGGACTCCCCCACAGACACCGGGAGGTAAACTCATATCTCGTATTCATTAAATGCTGCATTGCTAAACGAGCCCTGTGCAGAAACAAGCTACGACACATTTACTGAGAAGGAGACTTTCAGTTTGATGTGGCGGCACCAACGTTACCCGGCGCCTTAGGATGAAAACGCATTAAAGTGGATGTAGCCTGAACGTAAAAAAACAAAAGTGTGTTTTTTGGCTCTCAGGCCCAGATATATATCCTCTTTTTGATAAAAGTCTCTTTTTTACCACTCATCCATCCACGCCTCCCTCTCATCACTCAGCAGTCTCTAGTCGGGGAAGCGCTGGCAGGCCTTTTTCCAGCGGCAGGCGGTGCACCACTGGTCCTTGCGCTCCACTCCGTACACCTTGCGGCACTTTTTGGCCTCGCCGCGACCCTTTCTGCAGAGACACAAATCATGTGGATGAGAAATGATAAGAAAGGGCAAAGGAAAGGACAGGGCTCTGAGACCCGCTGCATGGGAGCAATCTCTATGAGAACAGCAGGCCGAGGGAACACAACCAATCAACAATCAGCATGAGACTGAATCAACCCGAGGTGAAAGGTAGTGGAATCAAAACATTATTTTGCCAGGCCAGTGAAGATTAGCCACAGAGGCTAGCTAGCGAACTAAAGACACGGCTCTCTGGCTGTTTAAGCCACCGGTCAGCAGTTGGGTCCTGCTACTACTGGTGCTATGCTAGCTAGCGCCACGTTGGCGCCATGCGTCAGATTTAAATCTGGAAACATAAAGTCTGCAATCGAAAAATAAAATACACCAAATATAAAAATATATATATAGAATTGAGTCTCGTATTTTGTTAAACAACAAAACAGGTTCACATTTGTTTTTCAAATGATCAAAACTTTTGACCTGGATTTGGCTCCATAGAATCAGGTCAACTCGCCAGCTGCTAAATCGGTAAATAGAGAACAGCGCTTCATCCACGCACTCTGTCCAGCGTGGGAAAGGACCCCTGTTCACCCGTGTGGCGTTCTGGGGCTAGTAAAAGGGAGCTAGCTAACTAGCTTCCCGCTAAATGAAATCACACTGCTTAATCCGCAACACGGACTCTTCTCCGGGCTCTTGTCACGGCGCATTGCTGATGCCAGATGATGCACCAATCACAGCCCGGTATGAAGAGGACTAAAGGCTCACCTGAAGGAGCAGTGGGTGCGCAAAGGAGACACACTGATTGGCTGCAGCCTGTTCTGCTGGAGCCACTGTTCCCCGACGCTGACGGACCGACAGCGAGGTTTCACCACCTGGAGAGACACACAAGCACAGGTATGAAGAGCCGGTCTCTGTGGCCGGCATGGCTGCTGCTCCTTGCTCATGCTCTTTAGATAAGGCACACAAACACATGTGAAGACAGAACTGGAGAGAAGACCCACCGGAGTGTTGCTGTGGCCGGAGATGGCGGTGGAAGGGGTCCAACCCTGGCAGCTGGGGCTTCTGGAGGCCTCAGATACCTGGACCGGGCTACAGGCCTGGATGGAGTAGAGGAGAGGTGGCGACACATGAGTCACTGAGGTGTAACGGTTCTTGCGTGGTGGGTTGAGGTGCTACCTGGAATCATTCCAGGAAAACCCTTTTGGGAATAAAAAGACTAATGGTTCCTTCAAAGACTCTTTTCTTCCAAAGAACCATTTTTTGGAAGAAAAAGTTCTATAAGGATTGTTTACGGCAGGGGTCTCAAACTCCGGCCCGCGGGCCAAATCCGGCCTGCCGGGGCGACCGCACTGTTCGGCGGTTGGACAGTCACCGCCGCCACCCCCCCCACCGTTGACCATACCGCTCGCCGGTCGGTAAGGTGGAGACGGTGCCATCAGGGTCCCATCGATGCCGCGAGGTGCGTCCGCTCCCGCCGCCCCCCTCGCCATCCACGCCTTAAATCTTCGGCTCCTTTTAGAATAACTTATGTTCCCCGTTAAGATGGTTCAGCTACTGTAGAGAAAATGGCGCCGTCTCTCGCTCTTTAGCCGCTTCGAGCGAGAGCCTTATTGTTTTATTAATCTGTCCGTTTAAATTGTTTGTGCTTCATCAACTAATGTTTCACATAACTAATGTGCCGCATCATAAATATTTTTATATTAATTTCACTCTTAATTTAACTTTTAAACATGTAAAATTTAAAAACTTAATTTATTTATTGTAAATGACCTCTCGCGGCCCACCTGCAGTACCTTCGCGGGCCACACTTTGGGAATCGCTGCCTTACATCATGAAAGAACACCTCCCTGGATGAGTCCGGTCAGGTTCCTCACCTGTCCTCACTTACCCAGTTAGTCAGTCCTGATTGCCCCCCCACCCCCCCGGTGTGGGTTTGCCAGCGATACGTCACAGAGCTGCTTGTGCAGATGTTTGTAGACCTTAAAGCTCAATTGTGGATTTTGCACGTAGTCGCTGGAACAACGGTCCTACTCCTCCTTCCTGTGCAACCACTGTCACTAACCCGTGCTTCTCATTCGTAGCAGATCTGATGTTAGTGAGCATCCAATGGAGCTACACGGGGGCCTGGACCAGAGACATGGTGGTCCAGCATTTCAGCCTCCAGCAGCAGACACCCACGATAACACAAGCGCTGCTCCATTAGAAGCAATGACCCGCGATTCCACCCACGCTACGCTGGACCCCCCCCTACATTCCTGCATCCCTGAGGAAATTAAAGAAAAAACAGGCTTACATTGTCTCATATTGAAACATGAAACATGTTCAAAGAGCCAGCAAGTGGAGTCCAGTGCACGTCCAAACCGCTCGTACAAAACCACATCGGGAGGATCCATGTACTGTTTTTCTGAATGTTACTCGCTCACTGTCACAAAGCATCCATCGACTGACTTGGCAGCACGGGGTAAATGCAGGTCACCGGCCAAATGTGCTGCTTTGTGGTGCATGAAGCGAGTTGGAGCCCATCGGCCCGGTAGAGGGGGTATCCGCACGGGGGAGAAGGTCCTATGAAACGCAACATGAAAAACCGCTGCACAGGAATTGAGAGAATGTCGTCTGAGATATCTGGCAGCAGAAGAAAGGAATCCACACACGTCCGTTTGCTTCTTCACTTCTAGTCTGATTTCAGCATAAACACCCTGATTCCCGTCCACGTTTAATCATTAAACATCGTGCGCTTGCAGAGAACTCTGGGAAGTAAATAATTACTTATTGAAATTAGGGATCTTGGGAGCCAAACAGGTACGGTGCCAAAACTCTTTTAGATGGAGGGAAATTCAGCCTGCAAAACTGCAATTAGACATTAACAAAACATTGACAAAAACCCATTCAAACGAGAACTAATTACGTTATTTTGGGCTGATTGAGCCTCTAATCCGTCACATGAAAGGAAAGGTAACATTGACCAGCTGTGGTCTGGAGGAGCCTGTCATCGGCTGCTGGATGTGACCATTTTAACAGATCTTATAATCCGTGAGGTAATGAAACTGCATCCACCCACGAGGGCCTCTAAGGCTCAGATTAATATGTTGCATTTGCACAAAAACAGAAGTGAATAAAGGGGATGTCACCTTTGGACGGAGCCTGCAGTCCGATGCTAAGCTACTTTAACGTGTTACCTGCAAATGTGAGAAACACCGTTACCCTCTAAATGTTTAGTCATTGTATTCCTTATAAAGTGAACATCTTTTAGATATTTCAATTTCTTTCCTGAACTTTGAACCTGAAATAGTGTCATTTCCAAATGACCCGGACCGTCATGAGGTCTTATTGGCCCAAAAGAACTTTGTAGTTTCCCACTTTTTCTGCCAAAACTTGACAGCAGTCACTGTCAGAAGGCCCAAACTGCTCAGAGACCCCGGCTGCACCCACCTGATAGAGGTGCTCCGAGTGGATCTGCCAGAAGCTGCTGGGGGCCGACTGGCTGAGCGGGACGGCCCGGTTCGGGACGGCCTCGGAGCTGGAGTTGGACCTGGGCCTGTGAGCTGGTGGGATCTGCAGCCCAGAGGGAGGAGGGGAACCGCAGGAGGCCCAGCTGAGAGGGGAGGACGAGGCCTGGCCCAGAGATGGATGGGAAGGAGCCGGAGCTGGAACCGGAGCCGGAGCCAGAACCGGAGCCGGGGCGGAGCTGAAGTCCACGGCCTCACAGGAGATCCTGGTGTAGTAGAAGTCCTCTTCTCTCTGGGACTGATCCGACCCACTGCTGCGTGCGACAGGCGGATAAAAGTTTGGACCTTCACTGAATGTTGCAACTACGTCAGAGCTCTTCCACGGCCTCAACCTTCTTCCCTCCCGTTTCTATGTAGTTCTGCAGCTCAGATGTTCAACCGTCTGCTTTACACTCATCCTCAAACTACTGGCTGAACACCTGGAATGTTCTCTAACCTTCCTAATACCTCACAGTTCATTCGCAGATTAACACTAGATTGCAATAAAAATACATTTTGTTCATAGTTTTGGAAATCAAACCTCCACATTTGAAATATTTGGCGCGCGCACTAAAAACCACGACGCCACGCCGGGGAACTGGAGCGCTCCTAAAGCCTGGAAGTGCATCTACTGTGGGTCGCTAGAGAGACCAGAAGTTCTTCTTCGTTAGGGGACAACGTTTGGCACCAGCACCGAACCACCCAGTGTTGTTCACACGGATTATGATACGCGGCGACTGACCCCAGATGCAGCACCCGGATGTGTCTTTTTATTCCAACTGAAGATGTGAGCACCTTTCCACAGCTGGGCCACAGACACCTATAGGCTCCTCTGAAGGAGCTCTGGGGGAGAGAGAGAACACAGGGGACGTTCAGGCCCAGGACGCCAAGAGAGAGTCTCCCATCGCGTCCTTCACTGGTCCCGAGTTCTGCTCAGTGAGGCGATGGAGCTCCAGCTGTGTACCTTGGGCTTTTTGGCGTGGAGCTCGTCCCCCTGCTCCAGATCCACCTGCAGGCCTTCGTCCGGGCTGCTGTCCATCTCGGTGACGGATGGCGAGGGGGCGGGACTCACGTTGCCGTGGTCCCAGCTCCAGTAGCCGCTGCTGCCGCTGTCGGAGAGCTCGCCGCCGCCACACTCCATGTCGGCGGAGGAGGAGGAGCCGGCTGGAAAGCAGGAACACGGCGGAAAGACGCTCTTAGCTCCGGATGTCAGATAGCGTCTGTGACTGAGCGAGTGCACGAGGTCGACCGGGTCTCTGCCGCCTAAAGGCCGCCTTTTCACCTCGCCAAAATATCTTTATTAGCAAGTAAACCATTTTTGTCCTTTAATCAGGTAAAGTAGAGCCAGGAAAGTACTGCTTATGTATTTATTGATCTTGCTTATTGGAGCCACAGCAGAGATTCATGCTGATAATAAAAGCTCCACCATCAATCCTCACTGTAACTAAACCAGTTTGTGTGCGTTGCCTTTGTTTCATGTGTTTGGTTGATTTCCTGCAAATTACCGCAAAAGGAAAAAGAGCGGAAAATACGGCGAACACACGGTTACTGTATTAGTGCCCCCCCCCCCCCCCCGAAAGGCAAAACTCTTATGGATGTTTGTGTGATTTAGATGAATAAATTGTCAGAGCGTCAGACTACACTGTGCTACACTCACATTAAGACTATTGTTGTTTTTCGTCATGCAAATGACAAAGAAGTAAAATTAAAAGTGCATTTTGAAAGTTATGAAATCAAAAAAAAAGATCTCAAAATTGAGTCTCTTTGTACAAACGTTCACCATTGAATTCTAAATTCCAAATGCAATAAGGGACTTCATGCAGCTGCAGTCACGGCAGACAGATGAACACATAAAGGCGACAGAATACATTAAATTCACTACTATGACTTTAATAAAAGACGACGTATTAACAGGAGGAACGGGTGGAAGGAGACACAGACCTGGCCCGGGATCGTTCTTCGGGGGGCTCTGGACCCCCGGGCTGCAGGACAGGCTGGTCAGAACCATGGCCGCCATGATCTCGTCCATCTCCACCGACTCCGGGCTGCGGAAGCTGGACGCAGCACACAAAGAAAAGTCCCCTTTAGACTCCCCTGTGTGACGAGGCCCGGCCCACCGCACACTGCCACCCGCGTCCCTCACCAGTACCGGGCCTGCTGGGTCGCCGACCTGTGCGTGGCGGGCGCCGCCGCTTGCAGGGAAGCGGCTCCTCGGTTGCTGCAGCCTCGCTCGGCCTCCCTCTCCTGCAGCTGGACCGGCGTTGTGTCCTTGTGATGCCGGCTCTCGGCTCTCGGCCTCCCTGCCTGCACGCGCCGCGCCGTGCACACCTTTGGGAAGATGAAGCACTTTACTATGACAATGAACGACAAAGTGAAGGGAAGCTCTGCTGTCCGTCTGCGGCGCCCGGCTGCACGCGGCTCAGTCAGCTTCTGACCCGGCGGTGCGTTACGTACGGAGGGGGAAAGGATGCGAGGGAGGGAGGACGCCCTTTGCTTTTCCTTTCCGTCCCCTCTCTCCCTCCACTCACCGGGGCCTGCTGGGCGTCGGGCCCCTCCTCGCTGCCTCCAAACGCGGTCGCCACGGAGTGGGCCTGCGCTGCCACAGGGCGGGCCGCCGTCCCGCCCGGGCCTGGTCTGGCTCTGTCCTCAGGTCCCATAGCTGCACACAATGAGGGGGATCCGCACTGTGTCACACCGCCCTGCGGACGAGACATCAGGGACACCAGGTGAGGACCGGTCCGTGACGTGTGACTGCATTGTTTCCACAGGAATGGCACTCATGTGCGGTCATGTGCTTATCGGGGCGAGGATAGAGTTTAAAAGGTCTGCTCAGCAGAGGTCAAGACATCCTTACTGACTCAAAATTCACAGGATCCTGCACGTAACACAATGCAACTCAGTCGCATCTTTAATTTGAACCTGTCTGCTGCCCAAAACACGCAAAGTTAACTTCACGTGTAAAAATGGCAATTTTCACCTGTGTGTTTAAATCAACTTAATATTCACTTTCGTCATCACATGCAAACACCTTCCCTCTAACAGCATTAAGCCGTGAACCGTAAAGGTTATTTCCCAACGAGGAGAAGCTGCTCCGAGTGAAGCGCAGCACCAAAAGGTAAATGTAAACCTTCTCTGACGAATGCATGCGCTGATCTGAACAGTGAGCACTGGGTCTCGGGTCTCTTTGCCTGGAAGCGCAGAGCAAAACGCCTCTGGCGTGAACGTGGACCCCTCAGTGCTGGGAGGGTTCTGTAGTTTTGTGGGAACTGATTACGTGTTTATTTGGGACCTGACATCCATAGAGGTAAAATGGGGTAATGCTGCATTCAGGGCACGTGGGAATAATGCAGACCAAAAGGTCGATTTGCTGAAAATAATCAGAACCACGTGACGTTATTTCAAATGTTACAGCAAATACATTGAGAAAACTAAATCAGTGGCAAAGATAGTGTTGCTTTATTTATATCAGTCAAACATACATGTATACAAACCACTTTTGCAGATAACGATAAAAATAATGTTCATAATAATCAGGATTTTTATTGTGGTGATTATTCAAAGTACCGTGATTATCATTTTGATTTCATTGTTTACACCTGCTGATAGTATTTCTATATGAATCGTACGATTAAACTCCATGACAACACAGTGAAGACGAGGACACTCGCTGCGGTAACTGAAGTGTCCTCCCGCGGTGAAGGCGCTTCATGAGACACACGCTGTCTCTGTGTTTCCAACCAGAAGGCTCATCTCTCCCATTCCTTCCTGTGCACCTGAACGCGGAGCCCAACCCCCGCGCGCCCATTCTTTACACCAATCAGCGTCGCGCCTCAGTAGTAAACAAGTGCCCCGGCGTGAGCGGGGCCAACTCCGCTGATTGGCTGCGCTCCGCGTTGCGGGGGCACACACCTCCTTTCTGACAACGTGTGCGGACACGAGCCCCCCCGGGGGGGCAGCGAGCCGGGGGGGGGACACTGTTGAGGATGACCGCACTTTAACGCAAAGAAAAGAAATAAAAACTCGACCGATCGCGCAACAGGAGGAGGAGACCCGAGAGGAACATGGGACGACCACACAAACACGCACGAACATAACGACCCCCCCCCCCCGTTTAGTGGAGGCAAACGGCATACATGTGGGGGTATGTTAGCTTACACGCATTTAAATATTCCAACATTAAACACATAACATCGTCACGCGAGTTTCCGCAAACGCGCTGCAAGTTGCACGAATGACGTCATTCGCACTTTCCCCAAACACGCGCAGCCTCCGTTGTGTGTCGGTGTCCCCGAATATAAGCGGAATATGAACCAGTTTATTCACCCACCGACACCGATCTCCTCCCGGCGACGCAGATTGGGATCATGCCAAACAATCCCCGCCCCCCTTCCGGCTCAGCCGCTGGAGGAAAACAAACACTTCTGCGTCGCTTCGCTGCAGCACACAAAAACAACAGAACGCGCGGCGCTCCTGCGGCTCGTACCTCGGTCACTGGGCTGCAGCAGCCGCTCGTCGCAGTTCGGGTTGTTGTCCCGCCGCTCGCCGGCTCTCCAGTCTGTCCGGGTGTGTGTGCGCGTGTGTGTGTGTGTGTGTGTGTGCGCGCGCGCGCGGCGGGTCGAGGGAAAAGGGGGTTGGTCGGTCGGATCCGCGCCTACGTGTGTCCGTTTGACGAACCAATGCCGGCGCTGTGCAGCGGGGCAAAGCGCGCACAAAGGATGATGTAGGTGAGGGGTTACCAGAGCAGCGGCGGCAGCATCCCAGGCTCAGCCTGCCCCTCGAACCCCCCCGCGAGCTCTACGGGGGTCCTTAGAGAAAATAAGGACATATTTCTCCAGTGCTGCAAAGTGTTCAGTGCGTTTACGTTCCCAAACAATGTCTCTCTTTTATCTTATATATGCAAATATGCAGCATATGATATCCAATATAGACATAATACCAAATGGATCAAATAAACACAAACTACAACACTGTCATACATGTAGTGAAGTGACAAGATAAATATCAGATTAGTGTCATGTACTACGTGCAGTCTGATGTAGCTTCTAATCTGAGGTTATAATACAATTATATATAAACACACAGATAAAAACCTTTTGAGCACCATAAACACATTTTAAATTGCTCACAACTAATGGAGATCACGTCATGTACACCTCACATCACACGATGAATGCCTGGAGATCAAACACAATTTGCATGTTTGTTTCCAATGTGTGTGTGTGTGTGTGTCGCAGAGCCTGAGCGTGTTTGTGTGTGTTGGGGAGACGGGATTAGTGCCGGCTGTCTGCAGCCCTCTCCACCAGACATCCAGTCAGCGGGGCGTTCAGGGTCAGAGGGAGAGGCTGGAGCACTCAGCTAGTCCCAATCTGAGTCCTGCGCCAGACACAGTATTCCATCCATGAATGACGTGTGCTGTTCTCAGGCCTCCTGTAACTGTCCCGACTGCTGAGACGGACTCGGGTGCAGATGATGGACAGGTCACGCCTTCATTGCACATCAGGTGTAGCGACTTGAAGAGGTACAAATGTCGGTTTAGAACTTGTGTGCGGTTTGAATGAAGTGCAAATTGGGATTTCTTTCGTTGGGAAGTATGTCGCATACTCTCAACATAGACGATCGCCATAGCGACGGCACACAAAACTGCGCTGAGATCGCCTTGTTTCGCTGGTTCCTCTGATCCCTGACAGCGTGTGTGGCCTACGGCTCCGTGGTGCTGCTTGTTCAGGATGTCAAATATCCGATGCTAGTGTGATTCTTCTCTGTTTGAGTCAATGTTTAAACTCACCACGAAAACCAAACCAGGGAGATACAAGGCAGCAGGTTCACGCAACTTATAATCCACCGTGCCGTGGAAATGAGACCATGACGCCGCTCGCATGCTGATGCTGGAAGGTGAAACCTCTTTTAGCATCATAGCATGCTAATGTGTCTGAGTTAAGACACAGTACAGCTGATGGGAATCTCATTCGTTTTCACAGTAGAACTAGCAAATATTTATGTTGGACAAATTCTCAGGTGGCTGAGAAATTTGAATTAAAACTAAAAAATCAACCTTATTTATGCAGCAGAGACAATCCAATCCATCCAAACATCTTTCACGTGGGTCACATTTGATGATGTGAAGACGCTCGGGCACCAATAGTCCAACTATCATTAAAATCTGGAAAGTATGTCTGAATGTACACAATAGTATGGCAATCAATTCAATAATTGTTTGGACATTTTATCCCAAAACAACTTTGTTAACATGACGGCGGAGTCAGGGGAACATCAGGACATCAAGTCACTCGTGTTCATCCTCTGGGGAACAAGAAAATGTCACAGCTTTCTATGCAAAAATAGCAGATGACGTAATGTTACCAGGTTTAAGTTCTCAAGTATTTGTCAACACAATTAAATCTAAATGACAAAATAAGCATCATTTATAATTTGGCTTTGCAGTCAGAATTCGTTGGAGTGATTCGATCGCACCGGGAGACGTTGACGAAACGAACTCACCCTGCTCGTCCAACCGTGACCGTTCTTGGGACGATGGATGAAAAATAGCCTTTTAGGTAACTTATTTACAGCAATGCTTTTATTAATGTGCACTGTCCCTTATCGAATATACCAATCGATAAATGAGGTGGAGGAAGGAAGGCTTCTAATGAACAGTGTGAAGGAAGCAGAATGGCCGACATCAGAGTCTCATTTGGTTGTGATTTATTGGGGCTGTTCAGTAGCTCATGACAGACTGGCAGAACAAGAACGGCAGCTCCACCCGGCACTTTGATGATTCCTGACCTTTGGCTCACTGAATGCCCAGGCGCCACTCCCAACTGGAACTGGGAGGATGCCTCTTTGGCAGACAGTCAAACCTGTTTACACTGAAAGAATGAATAAAGCACCGACTCGCTGGAACAAAAATGAGAGGAGTCCAAAAGAACTGAAGTTATTCCTTTCATTTGAGGAAGGAAAGTTCAGAAAAAGTTTCAACTTATCAATATCCCATAGATTACAAACCCCGCAAGCGAGCAGTTCAGACTCTGGGATGTTTTTATTTCCCCGTCCCGGCCCGTTGTTTACATGGATTTCCCTACAGTATCAAACGTCCGTTATCAGACACCTACGACCTGCGTGAAGGGGCTCGCTGCCCATTTTCAACCAGCTCTGTGTCACTGTGTGCAGACAAACAACGGCAAACCACCACGCTGCCGCGCCCGCAGCTCCCGCCCATCCGCCCATCCGCCTATCCGCCCGCCCATCCGCCCCTCCATCCATCCGCCCATCCGCCCATCTGCCTATCCGCTCGCCCATCCGCCCCTCCATCCATCTGCCTATCCACCCATCCGCCCCTCCATCCATCCGCCCCTCCATCCATCCGCCTATCCACCCATCCGCCCATCCGCATGACATTGACATGAATTGACGTGATGGATTAAAAAGGATGCGCTGGTTTACGCTGACATGGCCGAGCGGTGGGAACCAGTGGCTGCCAGGTGTGCTGTGAACAATACGTTCCACCAGGAAACACGTTTACTCTCCTTCCTCCGACTGTTATATGAGAAGACTGAATCAACAATCATATCCGTTTGTAGATTTGAAGATAGCGGTAGCTATCGGTAGCGTTTCCCAGCTGTAGCTTCTTATCAAACGGAATCGTAGGTATCAATCCTCGCGTGTAACTCTAACATAAAAAAGGCAATAAGCCCATTTCCCAAACCAGTGAACGCCCCATGGCAATTCAAGACCTTCATTAGCTCCTGGTAGCCTGCTGGGATCACTCAACAATAAAAAGTTATTTCCTAAATTACAAATAATGTTTGAAAAACCCCCATTAATCTAGAATATTCAGCGAAGTTACAAAGTCAAAGAAAATATCTTCTCAGGAGAATCCAGGTTCTTCCTTGAAGAATGTATCCAGAGGAGCGAGGGCTGAAGTGTTGAAGACGTGTGGATCTCCTTCTTCCTTCCATCCGTCCATTTGTTAAGTTAGAAGAGTGGGTTCGGTGCCGTGTGATGACTGGTTCTGTAGTGTGTGTGTGTGTGTTCAGGACGGTAACTGGCTCGTTAGGTCCTCATGTTCTTCTCTCTCTCTAAAGTGCTGGGAGGCATGTTCTTGTAGTTCCTCCATGTTGTGTCGGTTGCCACCCCCGGGTCTGGAACCGCTGATGATGAAAAACGTTAGTGGCGCGTTTGGTTCAACATTTAGTTTGTTATGTACATGGAACTCACCGGCTCCTCCTGTCTTGGCAGTGGGGGTCTTCTTGGGTGTCTTCGCTCCTTTAGACTGTCAAGGAGACACACAGAAAAGGGTCAAGGACAAGAGGGGCGTAGTTTTGGTACAGTGTGTCTGTGATGGTAAAAATGGAGCTGCCGGTTAGCATCATAGGCAGTACGTTTGAGGCGTTTACGTGTGGTTATGGATCTCAAACTGCCTTAAAGCAAAGTGCACAAAGGTTTCTTTTAACAGACAGCTTCCTCGTGCCGCTCCTGTGATGTTCCGTCTGTGTAACGGCGAGTCGAGAAAGTCGGGACATCAGAGAGAGTTTCAATCCTACTTTTGTCTCACTGAGCGTGAGAGCTGTAATTTGTATCTGATTAGTTTGTGGTGACTCATCAGATTTGTTGGCTCCCCTTGGTTTCTGGGTGCTTGTCGTTCTGTATTCCTTCTATCTAATTAGTCACACCAGGCTTGACTCCAACCACACGCTTAAAGGCAGCGTGGCTCACCCTCAGCATGAGGAAGTAAACGTCGCAGGACCGTATCTGCCCCATCGTTGCGGTCAGGCTACCTGCCTGTTACTTGTTTGAGTTCACATTAATATTTTGGGTGGAGCGGCTTTGGATGGAGGCTTATAGGGACGGCCTGTTGATGACTTCCCAGCTAGATTTAGCAACCTTTGAACCTTTCCACATTCACTGGAAAATAGTCAGAACAGCTCGATCAAAAGCTTTCAAATGTTACGCACAATGACGTTAACTGACGGCCTGATCTCCGTCCACTAGTTTGAACCTGGGAGCCATGAGGGCCACAGTATCTGCTGCCCCCCTGATCATCACTCGCTCTAGTCAGCTACTGCGGCGGGTACGACATAAAGGTATCGAGGGTTGAAGGTGACAGAAAGGAGCGAGCTCTTCGGTGGCAGGACACTAGGAACAGAGAGGGAGATGAGGGGCAGTTACCATTGTGCCCATGTTCACGTCGTAGGCGTCGGCACTGTTCCTGTGGATGACAAAGGATGAGATGAGTTCAGAGGATGCACCACGTCCGTGCGACAGGGGACAAAGGTCCGTACAGTTCCACGCAGCTGTGTGGATTTGATTTATGGCTCGAGACCTTTAAAACGCTGTCCGTCCCTCACCGGCTCTTCATGAGCTTGTGTCCTGAACGTGGTCGTCGGGTTTCAGGCCCCTGCTCGAGGTACAGCTCGTCTTTGTGCCGACAGTCGTGTCCCGCTTCCCAATTTAAAAGACTAGTGCAGCATTCTGGCTGAGCTCAAACCCGCTTGGGCCAGAAACATTTTCACTTGATGAAGACTTGTTTAATTCGGGACCTGATTGACGGTATCGATGTGTAGTGAAGAAGGTCTGAACTCAATCAACACCTCCTTGAATTGCGCACGGAGTTGACGGTGACGAGTTCCGCATTAATCTAAGTGACAGATCAGAAGATAGCGTTGCTCTCACCCCGCCTCACACCGCGTGTCATTGGTATGTTTGGCTTGTAATGCAATGTGGTTGAGGAGCAGCTCTTTATTAGCGAGCCCGGCCCTTTTGGCCACGACGCCCTCAGAAGAAATGATGTCAGAAGCTTTTGCTTCCTCCTCTTCAAACAGACAACGCCCTCCATGAACAAATCAAACATCGAGTCCGACGAGTCTTGAAGGTGATGAATAGCAATTAAGGTGGTTTTACATCCCGGCTCATTGTGAGGCAAACACAAGACTTGTCGGCCAACATGACTCACACCTGTGCTGCTCCCGCGGGAAACTAGAGTACTTTAAACATGTTCACCTGTGACACTGGACGCAGAGGGCGAGGAGAGCGACGCCGAGGACGAAGAAGACGACGAGGGAGACGATGCCCAACTCCTGGTGAGGGAAGCAACCCCGCGCGCGCACCATCTCTACTGGAGGCATGGTCCTGGTCCTCTCTCAAGGGTCTGGGATAGTGGGAATAAACATCCATAAGGACTCAAGCTGATAATCTTTTAACCATAACTCACTACTCACCTGCTGCTGGACTCGGGTGTCGCTCGGTCACCAACTGGTGTCGGTCACTGGGCGGCTGCTGCTTTATGGGCAGGCAGGTGAGCGGGGGAGGGGCTGGTTTCGCTGGAGCGCTGTTGAGAAGGAGGAGCCGACAATTAGCCGTCCACCGGCTGCTGGCTTCCGTCACCGAAGCAGCCAAGAAGACGAGCAGACGACAGGAATGTGTCACAGAAAGCCTCATTTACATTCTCCTTGTCGAATGGGAGGGTAGTTTGGCCCCGAGCCGACGGTGCCGCTGGGGAGTCGCCGGTTAAACCCGTCAGGAGTTTCATGTGTTCGCTCTTATTCTTACTTCACTGACGAATAAGATAATCCTTCATTACTGTCACTTCTTATCCACCTCACGTCTTACTCTTGTATTTGAGCTTTCTTTTCTGCTTTGACTAAATAAACGTGACTTTTTTTACTTTAATCTTTTTGCAATCATTGCATCATTGTTTATTTCTTACTTTGGTTCTTTGGTTTTAAGAATTCCTTCAGGATTAACAAAATCCTTCCGTTTCTTTACTGATTGTTACACACGAAAGAACAAATGTAAAGGAAAAGATAAAGTAGATTATTATTAATGTTAAATGTCTATCTCTGTCTTGGTTACCGTGCCGATGATTAACGGACGCTCGTCTGAATCTGTGAATATCTTCACAACTTTAGCGAACTCTCCGATACGTCTGTTCACTCCAGCCGTTGGAAAATGCTCTAGATTAGATTTCAGCAAACATCCCAAGTTGGTTTAATCAAAGTATCAAAATCACATGCAGTAAATAACACTTGTGTCACCCTTCACAGGCAGTTCAGTATATTATCAAATATATATCAAATAATATTCAGTATGAAATATTTGTGGCTCGTCTCGTCTGTTCTGAGCTCTTCCTGCAGAATGTGATCCGCCTGTTGGTATCAGCCTTCACGAGAACACGAAGGCTCGGGGCAAAACGGATGTTGCCCCAGACTGAGTCTGTTTAAGAAGGCAAATTGTTTGTCGCATTCAGACTGAGGACATGGTGTCATAGTTTAGATGACGGGGCGTATTCATTCATCGCTACTTTATTATTTATCCTGCAAGGGGGACGCCTTTTCACGACCGCAGCATGAAGGGAAAGAAAGAATATTACATTCAATTTACAATATAGAAAAATAGAGTAGCATTAATTACTCAAATTAACTAAACAATAGTGCAGAGATCCAACCAAACAAACAGCAGTGTGAAGAAGTACACAAGTAACAGAACAGTACGAGCTCCTGTGGTGGAACACGGAACCACATCACACGTCATCATGAAGGAAACCCGACAAACGCACTTACAGGCCGGGACCCACAGCACAAGATGCTTGCACACCTGATGCCCCTAAGGTTGTTCTTGGTGGTTGTGTAGGTGTTTTGTGCGTTCATGTGTAACATTCCACAGGGGAGCTGCCCTCACAGAGAATGTGGAACGCTAAACGGGACACAATCACCTGCTGACGTGTGTCTGCTGCTTCCACTGTTCAGTCACTGAGAGGAGGCGGGGCCCTACCAGGTAAACGCTAATGGTTATATTTCATATCTGCTCATTTCAATGGTCTGTCAACACCACAGCATGGAGCTATAAACACAATGACTTGTGGCTTCATCTGAAATGTAAAGCTTCACTTTTTCTCTAAAGAGAAATTTATTATGGGCTTTAATCAGGTTTTGGGGTTATTATTTTATCCATAGCCGATATGGTTGCAGATTGAACCAATTATTTCAAATACAATGTGTGATTTATAGTTAAACTAGCTTTGCTTCTTAGAAGATTTTTAAATTGAGTTCATAAGGATTTAGTGTCCTCTGGTGGCGCAAATGTAGACAGCAGCTCTGTCGTCTCCCAGCAGGCCTCGCCAACGCCAAACTAGGGCCAAACTAAGGTCAAACTAAGGCCAAACTAAGGCCAAACTACGGTCAAACTAAGGTCAAACTAAGGCCAAACTAAGGCCAAACTACGGTCAAACTAAGGCCAAACTAAGGCCAAACTAGGGCCAAACTAAGGTCAAACTAAGGCCAAACTAAGGTCAAACTAAGGCCAAACTACGGTCAAACTACGGTCAAACTAAGGCCAAACTAAGGCCAAACTAAGGCCAAACAAAGGTCAAACTAAGGCCAAACTAAGGCCAAACTAAGGCCAAACTACGGTCAAACTAAGGCCAAACTAAGGTCAAACTAAGGTCAAACTAAGGCCAAACTAAGGCCAAACTAAGGCCAAACTACGGTCAAACTAAGGCCAAACTACGGTCAAACTAAGGCCAAACTAAGGCCAAACTAAGGCCAAACTACGGTCAAACTAAGGTCAAACTAAGGCCAAACTAAGGCCAAACTACGGTCAAACTAAGCCAAACTAAGGCCAAACTAAGGCCAAACAAAGGTCAACTAAGGCCAACTAAGGTCAAACTAAGGCCCAACTACGGTCAAACTAAGGCCAAACTAAGGCCAAACTAAGCCAAACTACGGTCAACTTAAGGTCAAACTACGTCAAACTAAGCCAAACCTACGTCAAACTAAGGTCAACTAAGGTCAACTAAGGCAAACTAAAGCCAACTTAGGCCAACTAAGGTCAACTTAAGGCTAAGCTAAGGTCAACGTAGTCTAATCAAGGATCATCTAAAGTTCAACTAAGGGCAAACTACGTTCCACTAAGGCCAAATTAAAGCCAACATAGAGCTAATTTAAGGCCA